AACTGGCCCCTTCCAGATTCATACTGATGTCGGAGAGGAAAAGGAATTTATTTACACTGCAGTGCCTGGCAGCAAACATGGCTGCCCCTGCCCCCTTTAAATCGGAATAATCTTCACTCCTCCCCAAAACCATCAAATTATGGCCATGTCTCTCCCTGCCTCTCTTCCATAACACAAACACATCGTCTCCTCCCTCAAAACAGTAAAACCCACACCTCCCCATTTCACAACAATCACAATCCCATAACCACTAGCTTCTCTATTCTCTAGTCTTGAAAGAAAGGCACAGAATACACACAAATATAGGAACAAAAGGCCTCCCTTCCTAACACTTTAACGACCTCCATCCCCTTCTTTTCCTCCCACTCTGACGCTAAGTCGATCGTTCTCATCCCTGTCATCATTCAGTTAATTTCCTTCCCTAGCCCAATCCTGTCTTCCAGTTTCCTGCGTCTATTTCCCATCCTCCTATTGCAGCCTGCCTCATCCCTTTCCCTAATCCACCTTTTCCTTCACTTCCATTCCTCATTTCTCCCTTCATTCTCATAAAATGCCCCATTTCTCCAGCAAATGTATCCCCTTCTCCCAGACTCTTTTGGTTCCCACACTCCATCCCCAAACCTCCCTATTTATCAGTCCACCCAGGTCTCTAATCTCCATGCAACTCTTCTCCCCTTTCCCTGCCCCTCCCCAATCCCATCCTTATCCCCGCCCCCATCCGACTTCTCCCAATTCCCAGCTCAGCGCCACTCCGACTCCGATCCCACTCCCACCTCCCCTGCCCCACCCCCCAATTCCCTCCACACCCCCCACCTTGCCATCTGCTCCTCCGTCAGGACCCCCCTCGAGCCCTTTCAGGCCACCCGCTTCCCCTTCCATTCCTCCTGGGGTCTGGCGCCCCATCCCTAGGTCGCCCCCTCCCCGTCGTTTCCTCCTCAGCCCTTCCTAGCATTACACGCGCGCGCGCGCACACACACACACATACACACACGCACACGCACTTTACCTTCAGTTTGTTCCATTCTAACCCCCCGGCCGTGTCAGTGCGATCACAGGAGAGACACGGAGGCCCGGAGTGGGGCTGGGCTGCGGGCAGCCGCCGGGGCCGCGCGGGGAGGAGGCGGAACCGAGCTAGGCCGCATGAAATCCCCGGGCTAGATTTTCCCCGCGCCGGACGCCTCTGCCATGGCGGCCGGCACCGAGGAGGGCCACGGCCGGGCCGGGCCGGGCGTGCTGCGGGAAGAGGAAGGCTCAGGAGGTGGGGAGGGAAGGGGAGGCCGAGGGACGGGGTCGCCGCGCCGCCGCTGCTGCCAGAGAGGAGCCTACGGCTGGCGGCCCGGCCAGGACAGCAGGGTCCTCGGAGCTCGGCTCGGAATTCGCACGCCTCTCCGCGGCGACCTGTGCACAGTCCCCTCGGCCTCCGCCTCGATGCTGGCCGCCGCCGCCGCCGCTCCCGCCGCCGCCGCGCACAAAGCCCCCCCACCCCGACTCTCGGGGCGCCGCCGCCGCCAAATCCTCAGCCCCTCATTGGCCGCGGGCCGCGGCGCCTGCCGGGAAATGCAGTCCCGGGTTCGGGACGCTGGGGCTCCGGAGGAAGCGGCGAGTCAGCGGGGCGGAGGGGGCGGGAGCGCGAACCAGGAACGCCCGCGGCCGCTAGCTTCTGGAAGACTAGGGAGACTGGGCAAGAGGGCCAAGGGACGGGGAGGGACGGTACGTGGGAGAATGACACACAAAACACCCCGGGAAGCCGGAGGAGGCGTGGAAAGGTGGGGCCCGGGAGGTAAAACTGGGCTCGGCGCGTTCAGTGTGGCTGATTAAAGAACAGCGCGCAACTAGCGCCATATGGCGCTCCTCAGGGTGACTCGGCTCTGTAGCTCCTGGGGTTAGGAGCGACCGTCGCACGGTCCCCGGTGGGTGACCGCGCGAGGGCGGGGCAGTCCAGGCGTCCCCTCGGCAGTCTCCCGTCCTACAGCTGTCAGGGAAGGGCTCCCATTCCAGGAGGGTCTGCATCTGGAAAGCCGGGGGCGATGCAAGACCGCCTTGGCGTCGGTCTCCCTCTCAGCCCCGGCTGAATTGTCAGAGGGTCCGCCTTCCCCGGTTGCAAGCAGTAGGAGGCCGGGCCGGCTCGCTGAGGGAGCGCCCCGATCTCCCCGGCAGGCGCCGGCCCCGCGCGCCTCTTCCTGCTCGGCTGCGGCCCGGAGGCTTGTGGGTAACCGGGAGGACGACGTCAGTGCCGGCCGCATCCCCGGGTGCCCCCCAGCCGCGGGAGACCGCGAAGGCTCCGTGACCGTCACGTGCCGGGGGCCGCGGCTGCTCGCGGCCAGACCTTCGCATCGAGGGACATGAGGTACATTTGTCCTACACGGCCCAGGAGGAACCGGGAGGCAACTCTCCGTCATCCTTTAGCCCCCCGCATCCTAGGAAACGTATGGAAAACAATGGAAGGTTAAGTGTGTGCACAGTGATCTAGCCCTGCAGGAGTGTGCCGACCAGGTGGTATTTCCTGGGGCCTGGTGATAAGGATTTAGAAGGTTACAGCACAGAGATCTGAACGTAAAAAGGAAACACAGGCAGCAAGCAAATGAGGAAACTGATACTCTCTGTTCTGAGAATAAAGCCGTTTTACCGCTAGACGTCATACTCTCTGTAGACGTTATAGTGCTGGATGTCTTTGGTACTATTAAAAGAAATTAGATATCTGTTCTCTTTATCACTTAAGGAGATTAAAAGATTCCTACAGATCAGTTATTTAAAAGGGCACTAATTATGAACTAGTTTTTTTGTTTTGTTTTGTTTTTTGTTTTTTTTAAAAAACGTAACCCGGTTAATAATACTAAGGGTGATACTGAGAATTATCAGCATTGGCCGGGCGCAGTGGCTCACGCCTGTAATCCCAGCACTTTGGGAGGCCGAGGCAGGCGGATCACGAGGTCAGGAAATCGAGACCATCCTGGCTAAGACGGTGAAACCCCATCTCTACTAAAAATACAAAAAATTAGCCGGGCGAGGTGGCGGGCGCCTGTAGTCCCAGCTACTCGGGAGGCTGAGGCAGGAGAATGGCGTGAACCCGGAGGCGGAGCTTGCGGTGAGCCGAGATCGCGCCACTTCACTCCAGCCTGGGCCACAGAGCCAGACTACGTCTCAAAAAAAAAAAAAAAAAAAAAAGAAAAGAAAATAAAAATTCTCATTACTATTAATAATTAAATATTTTTAAACGTATGCTTTAAGTAGTACCACAGGTTAAAGCTATCAGTAAAAGCATACTTTTTATTTGTGATATGCCATTTTAAAACACAGATGGCCAAAGCGGGCCACCAAGTCTAGCTTAATTCCATCTCCAGGAAAGAGGGATTAAATTAGTCTTTTTTTTTTTTTCTATGAGCCTTTCTACTTCCATTCTTCGTTTTCTTCCTCCTGTGTCTTCCTTGCTTTGTTGATAAACTGTTGCCTTCACCCGGCACCTGGGTTTCTCCCTTGAGGAGAATCTAGTAAATTGTCCCCAGGGATCTTATATTAGCCTGTTTCTAATAGCTATGCTGACAGCAAGAGTTTAAAATTGGAGTTATGTGAAGTAGATGCATGGTCTTTTCCTGCAAAGCATTACAAAATACAGTTAGTAATACTTGATCTGGTGGCGTATGTAGGAAAATGGCCATTAAAAATAATAGTTTACATTTTCAGTATCTAACATCTTCTGAGGTTTAGACGATGATTACTCTTCGCCATAGAAAATGAGCAAGGAACTCATTAAGACAGCAACCTAACACAGTTCTCAGGGCCAGAGTCATGGGGAAAAAATATTTTTTTAAAAATTTCTCTTCTGAAGATTATATACAGAAACTCCTTACATGATAAATCTCTTATCCTGAAAGTCAAAGAAATTGCCAAGTCTCATAACTAGGGAAGATGGACATTACTTTGAACAAACGTATTTCAATAAGAAGGGTTCTTAGCCCTTCCCTTTTTAGGATAGGATTGCTGACATATGGCCATGGTAGAAAACCTAGCTCATCTTTCAAATACTGGGCATGGAATCGTTCATCTGGTTTATGAATACTTAATGATATTCACTGTGCCTGGTTGTAAGTGAATACAATGCATGAATAAGAATATTTCCCCGTATAAAATGTCTCCCAGGGAACTGAAAATATATTTGCATCCTTTATGATCTTTTCCAGAAAAGTACCAATACATGGTAGTGCAATGATTAATTGATGAAATTAGTATGAAAACTACATCTACCTTCTAGAACTCAAAATTTGACCACCAGGAATTTTCAGTGAGGGAAAAGTAGAGTCCAAAGCTTTGTAGATTTTAATTCTGGTAAACAGAACGTGAAGTGAAACCTTTATGTGCAAAGTTGAACATCAGACATGCACAAAGAGACCTCTAGTGGCCAAACTGAAAAGTTTTGCCTGTTTAACAGTTGATCTATTTGGTTATTAGCTGAAAAATCCTTTGTGGATTAAAAGCAGTCTGCATTTTTTACTGACGTTTAATACCGCCATCTTCCATTCTTAAAAATGTGTAGCCCAGATGAGTAAAGTCAGTGGTCAGCTCACATGTTAGGAGACGTATTCTCTGTGAAACGGCGATTCCTTGCTGTATGGTGGTCGAGTAGAGCCACTAAGAAAAAAAAAAATTTTTTTTTTCTTTTGAGACGGGGTCTCGCTCTTGCCGCCCAGGCTGGAGTGCAGTGGCGCGATCTCGATTCACTGCAACCCCGACTCCCGTGTTCAAGCGATTCTCCTGCCTCAGCCTCCAGAGTAATCAGAACTTCAGGGGCACGCCACCACGCCCGGCTAATTTTTGTATTTTTTTAGTAGAGACAGGGTTTCACCATGTTGGCCAAGATGTTTTCTATCTCCCGACCTTGTGATCCGCCCGCCTCGGCCTCCCAAACTGCTGGGATTACAGGCGTGAGCCACCGCACCCGGCCTAAAAAAAATTTTTTTTTGAATCTTTCTTCTGGAGCCAGATAAAATGGATGGGAAAAGATAACTGGGGAACGAGAATATTTCTAGATCTTTCATTTTCCCAAGATGGCTCAGTTGGCCATCCTAGGAACTGAAGTGCCCTCAAACCTATAGTGTCTGTCATTTCACAGCTACTATCACATACATTTTATATGTTGAGATTTCTACACAAACTATTAATCACAAACAACACTTGTTAAGGGAACATTGAGGAAGCAAATATTTTTAGTAGAATACAGATTTCCCTATGAAGATTTCACAGTATTCTGGCCTCTGGAAAGGAATGCTCTCCTTCCGATTCCCGCCCTTTCTGCGACACCATGAAGTCCTCTCCGCGCCCCTTAGGCAGTTCCGGAGTTGCAGGGGCCGAGGGAGAATACATCAAAGTGATGTCATTCATGACTCCGAGATGGTTACCATGGCAACTATCAGACATATTACGATGTCAGTAGGGTAAAAGCCTGTTTAGTCTTCAATCAAGGGTTTCCTCGGGCGTTAACCACTGCCTGCAGAGTGTGGACTGGCAGAAAAACCCTCGGGCCCCCCAGCACCAAGGCTCCTTAAACCAAGCCCCACAAAGAAGTCACTTCGGCGATGGGAACGCGGCTTTGCGGCTTCGCGGCTTCCTGGGCTGCTAAGGTGAAGGACGCCCGCCCTCCCCAGAACTTGAGAGCTTATTGGTTGGTGATGTCGTCACTCAGAGTGACATCAGGGGCAAGGAAAGAGGCGGAGCCGTAGAGACTTGGCTTCTGGCCCTTCTAGCTTGGGGGTCAGGGGAAGGAACTGGGAGGACCTAGGCTGCCGTTCCGCGGAGCCCGGCCGAGGAGGTAGGGGTGGGCAGGCCCAGCCCTCAGGCCGCGACCTGGTGGGCCTCGCTGCCTTTTTTTTCCTCCGGAGCCCGCTCCGTCCGCATCCTGCTCCTTTCATCAGCGCCCGATCCAGGTTTCCTGACCGCTTCCAGTTCCCACCACGCTCTCCTCCGCCCACGACCTCATCCCCGCCAGTCCCCAGCACAGTGCGAACTCTGAAGCTCGGCCTCTCCTCCCCCTCACAGCGCGCTCAGTCCTTTCAGTCCCAGGCCCTGCTTCTCCTCGGCTTCATTTCCCACAACCCCGATCATCCACGAGGGTCGTGGTTCCAGTGCCTGTCCCACCCCCGCACCAAAAAACCAAAACATAACCCCCAGACCCTGCCGCATGCAGGCCGCGCACACATCACGGGCGCCGAAACCGCCAGGCGAGGAAGCCCAGGGCGCGTTTTGCTCCGGTGGGGTGATGAGCAAAGCCGAGGGAGCCCGGGAGCAGCGGGCGTGGGGCGGCGCCAATGCGAGTGCGAGTGGTGTCCGCCGCCCGGGAGCGCCGGGGCTCGAGCGGATTAACCGCCACCTCAGGTGTCGTCTCCCGCCCGCGAAACGCCACCCACCGTTAGTGTGGGTCCAGAGGTTTCGAGGCCCTGTTCAAAATGTCAGCTCTGTGGCTGAGATTTCTATTCAGGAGAGGCCCTGGAACTCCTTTTCCAGCCGCAAGAGAGCAAAGCTGCCATTGGGAGATGCCAGCTCTTCTGCCGCTCCTCGCGACCCTTAGCAGAAAAGCGCCCCTGGATGGAGAAGGGTTTTGGTGAAGGTTATCTACAGGTTCAAAGCTCAGTTTGCGCTCTGGAGAATCACTAGCAAGGGAAACAGTTTTACCTCCACTTGCGCGATTAGTAGGTTCCATGTCTACCTTCATCCACTGCTATATAAATTAGATTAGTGGGTCCTTCCAATCTTCAGGATTTGGTACAGCTTGCCTAAATATAGAACAATGCTAACTGAAAAGAAATTCAGGATATCCACTTTCTACCTATATTTTAAGGCTACAAATAGATATATATTGCTCTACTTTTTAAGTACTTGGCAATCATTGAAGTTGCACTACTAGATACTATTGACCAGAAATCAAAATGTCTCTGAAGACCGTACCATCTTCATGAGCGACATCATCTTAGAGATCATTACCATTTGTTGGAATCTCAAGGTACCATTCTCAAGTCCAGAGCTAAGAAAATATCTGATTGTTGGACATGAGCTTGAAGGAGATTTTGTATCTTAACTATGCAAATGTTCTACCTTTGCAATAGTTAAAAACACTAAAATCCTGATGTCTTTTAATTGATGTGTTTTTGAAGTACTAAATTGTTTACTTACTCATTTTGCCTAGGTCCCTATGTTAACTACTTGAGACAAAAATAAATATGGCCTTCTACAGTTATAATTCAGTCTTAGCTATTGCTCGAACAAGGTAAGCATTGGAGTTACCCCCCAATATGAACTTAATTCTTCTTTTTTTTGGTAAATGTATTTATTTATTTTTATTTTTATTTTTATTTTTTTGAGATGGAGTCGCACTCTGTCGCCCAGGCTGGAGTTCAATGGCGCAATCTTGGCTCACTGCAACCTCTGCCTCCCGGGTTCAAGCTACTCTCCTGCCTCAGCCTCCCAAGTAGCTGGGATTATAGGTGTTTGCCACCACCTCCGGCTGATCTTTGTATTTTTAATAGAGACAAGGTTTCACCATGTTGACCAGGCTGGTCTGGAACTCCTGACCTCAGGTGATCCGCCTGCCTCAGCCTCCCAAAGTGCTGGGATTACAGGCGTGAGTCACCTCGCCTGGCCTGAACTTCATCCTTCTAGATGGAAAGTATATGTGTAAAAGGATTGGTTTAGTACACAATTAAAAGTTTCTTGGAGGCTGGGTGCAGTGGCTCACACCTGTAATCCCAGCACTTTGGGAGGCCAAGGCAAGGGCACTGCCTGAGGTCAGGAGTTCGAGACCAGCCTGACCAATATGGTGAAACCCCGTCTCTACTAAAACTACAAAAATTAGCCGGCGTGGTGGCAGGAGCCTATAATCCCAGCTACTTGGGAGGCTGAGACAGGAGAATCGCTTGAACTCGGGAGGTGGAGGTTGCAGTGGGCCAAGACTGGACCACTGCACTCCAGCTTGGGCAACAAGAGTGAAAATCCATCTCAAAAAAAAAAAAAAAAAAGATAGAAGATGTAGTTTTTTTTTTTTTCTTTTTTCTTTTTTTGGGATGGAGTATCACTCTGTTGCCCAGGCTGGAGTGCAGTGGCATGATATCTTGGCTCACTGCAGCCTCCACCTCCCAGGTTCAAGAGATTTTCCTGCCTCAGTCTTACAAGTAGCTGGGATTACAGACATGCACCACCACGCCCCACTAATTTTTGTATATTTAGTACAGATGGGGTTTTGCCATGTTGGCCAGGCTGGTCTTGAACTCCTGACCTCAGGTAATCCGCCAGCCTGGGTTTCCCAAAGTGCTGGGATTATAGGCGTGAGCCACCATGCCCAGCCAGAAGATGTAATGGTTTTAGATTGACATCTCTGTAATTGATGAACATCATGTGAGGTCCTTAGATGTAAAGCCAGTAAAATGGCTGATGAACAGCCAGTCTTAGGGCATATTTGTGTCCCATTACGGTCTGTTACCTTTTTTTTTTTTTTTTTTTTGAGATGAAGTCTCGCTCTATTGCCCAGGCTGGAGTGCAATGGCACGATCGTGGCTCATTGCAACCTCTGCCTTCTGGGTTCAAGTGGTTCTCCTGTCTCAGACTCCCGAGTAGCTGGGATTACAGGCGTGCACCACCATGCCCAGCTAATTTTTTTGTAATTTTGTAGAGACAGGGTTTCTCCATGTTGGCCAGGCTGGTCTTGATTTTTTTGTATTTTTGTAAAGACAGGGGTTTCTCCATGTTGGCCAGGTTGGTCTTGAACTCCTGACCTCAAGTGATCCACCTGCCTTAGCCTCCCAAACTGCTGGGATTACAGGCATGAGCCACTGTGCCCGGCCACCATTTATTTATTCACTGAGAATAAATAAAGACTATTCACTGAGCACTTACTTTTCCCCTTTTGGCCATTCAAAGAGTGTTTTATCTTGGTATCCTTCAAAAATAGTCTGAGGCTGGCTGCAGTGGCTCACATCTATAATCTCAGCACTTTTGGAAGCCTAGGCAGGAAGATAGCCTGAGCCCAAGAGTTCAAGAATAGCCTGGGGCCAGGCGCAGTGGCTCATACCTGTAATCCCAACACTTTGCGAGGCCGAGGTGGGCGGATCACAAGGTCAAGAGATCGAGACCATCCTGGCCAACGTGGTGAAACCCCATCTCTACTAAAAATACAAAAATTAGCTGGACGTGGTGGCACGCACCTGTAGTCCCAGCTACTCAGGAGGGTAAAGCAGGAGAATCGCTTGAACCTGGGAGGCGGAGGTTGCAGTGAGCCGAGATCGCACCACTGCACTCCAGTCTGGGTAACAGAGCGAGACTCCATCTCAAAAAAAAAAAAAAAAAAAAAAAAAAAAAACAGCCTGGATAACATAGTGAGACCCCATCTCTATAAAAATTTTTAAAACTAGCTGGGCGTGGTGGTGTGGGCCTGTAGTCCTAGCTACTCAGGATGCTGAGCCTGGGAGGTCGAGGCTGCAGTGAGCTGTGATCACACCACTCTACTCCAGCCTGGGTTTTTTAACACCTTAAGAACTAAACCAGGCATGGTGCATGTGCCTGTAATCTCAGCTCCTTAGGAGGCTGAGGTGGGAGGATTGCTTGAGCCCAGGGGTTTGAGGCCAGCCTGGGCAACACAGCAAGAGTCTGTCTCTTAAACAAAAAGAAAAAAAAAAGAGCCAGGTGTGGTGGCTCACGCCTGTAATCCCAGCACTTTGGGAGGCCAAGGCAGGCAGATCACTTGAGGTCAGGAGTTCAAAACCAGCCTTGCCAACATGGTGAAACCCCGTCTCTACTAAAAATGTAAAGATTAGCCAGCTGTGGTGGTGGGCGCCTGTATTCCCAGATACTCGGGAGGCTGAGGCAGGAGAATTGTTTGAACCCAGGAGGCGGAGGTTACAGTGAGTCAAGATCGCACCACTGTACTCCAGCCTGGGCGACAGCGTGAGACTCCGTCTCAAAAAAAAAAAAAAAAAAAAAAAAAGAACCAAGACAAATTTTTTGTTTGTTTATTTTTGTTTTATTGTTTTTTTTTGTAAGACAGAGTCTCGGTCTGTCACCCAGGCTGGAGTACAGTGGCGCAATCTCGGCTCACTGCAGCCTCCGCTTCCTGGGTTCAAGAAATTCTCCTGCCTCCACCTCCCGATTAGCTGGGACTACAGGTGCACACCACCATGCCCAGCTAATTTTTGTATTTTTAGTAGAGACGGGTTTCACCATGTTGGCCAGGATGGTCTCGATCTCTTGATCTCGTGATCCACCCCCCTCAGCCTCCCAAAGTGCTGGGATTACAGGCGTGAGCCACCACGCATGGCCCATATTTTTATTTTCAAACAATCTGATATGGTAGTTTAACTGCAAACCCTGGGCTGTTGCAATACCAGAAGGTAGAGACCCTTAATTGGGGTGCCCAGTTCTAATTGTGTGGTTTTTTGGTTTTCGTTTTTTGTTTTTTTTGAGACAGAGTCTCGCTTTGTTGCCCAGGCTGGAGTGCAGTGGCATAGTCTTGTCTCACTGCAACCTTCACCTCCTGGGTTCAAGCGATTCTCCTGCCTCAGCCTCCCTAGTAGCTGGGATTACAGGTGCATGACACCATACCCGGCTAATTTTTGTATTTTTAGTAGGGACTGGGTTTCACCATGTTGGCCAGGCTGGTCTCGAACTCCTGACCTCAGGTGATCCACCCGCCTCAGCCTCCCAAAGTGCTGGGATTATAAACATGAGCCACCGTGGCCAGCCCTAATGTTCTTGAAGAATTTAGGTGAAGGGTATTTCAGCTGTAAGTTGAGGAGTTCAAAGACACTGAATAGGTAAGGCAGTATTATGTGACTAGTTAATTCCTACAGTGACCATCAAATGTGTCTTTGAAACAATATTCCTTGGCCAGGCATGCTGGCTCATGCCTGTAATTCCAGCACTTAAGGAGGCCAAGGCAGGCGGATCACCTGAGGTCAGGAGTTTGAGACTAGCCTGGCCAGTGTGGTGAAACCCCATCTCTACTAAAAATACAAAAATTAGCTGGGCATGGTGGTCTGTGCCTGTAATCCTAGCTACTAAGAAGGCTGAGGCAGGAGAATCACTTGAGCCCAGGTGTCATAGGTTGTAGTGAGCTGAGATCGTGCAACTGCACTCCAGCCTGGGCAATGGGAGTGAAGGAAAAAAAAAAAGCTGTTGTATTTTGACCGGATGTACTATCTATTTCTTTAATAGTATGTGCTTTATGATAGTGTGTGCTTTGTAATAGTATGTACTTAACTCAGAGGATGTTCTTTTTATTCCAGATTCCCTAGCCATTTTGTCCATCCTACCTGCTCTTCTTATTCCCCATCATGTGCATTTCTTCACTTGCCAGATTCCCATTTAAATAAGACATGTATGAAGAACTATGAGAGCAAGAAGTACTCGGATCCCAGTCAGCCAGGCAATACAGTACTTCACCCAGGAACTAGACTAATACAAAAGCTACACACATCCACTTGCTGGCTGCGAGAGGTTCCTGGCAAACCTCAGCTGGAGCAAGCCCCAAAACATCCACAGGTGACGAGCCCTCAGGCCACAAAAGAAACTGGCACGAAGATTAAAGAAGGCGAACAATCTTATAGACAAAAAATCATGGATGAACTTAAATATTTTTACAATGGATTCTACTTACTTTGGATTGATGCCAAAGTTGCTGCCAGAATGGTTTGGAGGCTGTTGCATGGACAGGTCCTAACCAGACGAGAGAGACGAAGGGTAGGCAAGAATCATATTTGAGAAAGAAAATGTGAAATTAAAATGAACTATTTGGGAACTCAACTATTTAAATTCAATGTAAACTTCATCTTAAAAATCTCAGAGTAGGAATAATAACTGCTGGTGAGAACCAGTTTCTTGTCTGCAACTGACTTACTGTACAACTTTAGTCAGTATTCTGGAATTTGTTATATATTTTCCTGTAGAACGGTTTTTAAAAAAACTTTTATTTTAGGTTCAGGGGTACATGTGCACATTTGTAGAATGGTTATAATTATGTTTTTTTAATTTTTCCAAGAAGTTGAGAGGCTTCGTGTTTCAACTGTTGTTAATATATTAAGCAGATGCATTTTAAAACCCAATTTTGGCTGGGCACAATGGCTCACACCTGTAATTCCAGCACTTTGGGAGGCCAAACACAGTGAAACACTGGCCAACACAGTGAAACCCTTGTCTACTAAAAAAATTACAAAAATTAGCCGGGCATGGTGGCACGTGCCTGTAGTCCCAGCTACCCAGGAGGCTGAGGCAGGAGAATGGCTTGAACTTGGGAGGCGGAGGTTGCAGTGAGCCAAGATCGTGCCACTGCCCTCCAGCCTGGAGTGAGATGCCGCTGCAAAAACACAAACAAAAAAAAAAACAATTTTAAGTGATACAATGCTATTAAAGTATGGACCCTCTAACATAGATGAAGTCTAGGAGATGCCAATAATATTTTTATTGTCGTAGACTTCCTTTAAGATATCCCATAAAAATTGCTTCAGAGCTATGGTAAACAGGAAAACCCTGCCTTTTCGTTTTTATAAACAGCTGCAGAAAACCTGTCTTGGGTTTTTAACACTTTAAGAACCAAGCTGAGCATGGCGCATAGGCCTATAATCCCAGCTCCTTGGGAGGCTGAGGTGGGAGGATTGCTTGAACCCAGGAGTTTGAGGCCAGACAGGGCAACATAGCAAGACACTATCTCTTGAAAGAAAGAAAATGAACCAAGACAGGGCTTTTTTGGTTTTGTTTTTGATTTTTGTTTTTGGCATGCCCTAAAATAATGAATATTGCATATGCATTTAATTCTATAGCTGTTGAGAACTTGTGTTGATTTCTTCCGCCTGGTTCCATTTATGGTGTTCATAATTGTACCCTTCATGGAATTCTTATTACCAGTGTTTCTGAAACTCTTCCCAGAGATGTTGCCATCAACTTTTGAAAGTGAATCCAAAAAGGTATGTAGGATTTTTTAACTTTAATAAAATTTAATAAACTTTATTAGAGGAGTTTTTAGGTTTACAGAAAAATTGGGTAGAAAGTACTACTTCTCCCCACCCCACCCCATCACAATTTCTCCTATAATTAATATCTTGCGTTAGTGTGCTATATTTGTAATGATTAAAAAACCAATATTGATATGTTATTATTAAAGCTCATACTTTAGGGTTCACTCTTTATGTTGAAGCAGTTCTGTGGGCTTTGCAAATGCATAACTTCATGTATCCACCATCACAGTATCATACAGAATAGTTTCACTGCTCTAAAAATCCACGGTGGCTTATGTCTGTAATTCCAGCACTTTGGGAGGTTGAGGCAGGTGGATCATCTGAGCCCAGGAATTTGAGACCAACCTGGGCATCATAGTGAGACCCCATTTCTACAAAAAATGCAAAAATTAGTCGGGCATGGTAGCTCATGCTGTGGTCCCAGCTCCTTGGGAAGCTGAAGCAAGAGGATTGCTTGAGCCCAGGAGGTCGAGGCTGCAATGACCTATGATAGTGCCACTGCACTCCAGCCTGAGTGACAGAGGGAGACCCTGTCTCAAAAAAAAAAAAAAAAATCTCCGTGCTCCACCTATTTGTCCCTCTCCCTTCTTCCCCTAACCCATGGCAGCCACTGATCTTTTTATTGTCTCTGTAGTTTTGCCTTTTCCAAAATGTCATGTACTTGGGATCATACAGTGTGTAGCCATTTTAGATTGGCTTCTTTCACCTAGCAATATGCATTTCAAGTTCTTTTCATGGCTCAATTCTTTTTATCACTGAATGATAATCCATTGTATGGCTGTACCACAGTTTGTTTATCCATTCTCCTATGAAAGGATACCTCGATTGCTTCCAGGTTTTGGCAATTATGAATAAAACTGCTATAAACACTTATGTACAGGTTTTTGTGTGGATGTAAGCTTTCAACTCATTGGGGTAAATACCTAGGAGAGTAATTGGTGGATCGTATGGTAAGACTATGTTTAGCTTTTAAGAAATTGCTAAAGTGTCTTCTGAAGTAGCTGTATTGTTCTATATTCTTACCAGCAAAGAATGAGAGTACCAGCATTTGATGTTGTCAGTGCTCTAGACATTAGCCACGAAATAGGTGTGTAGTGTGGTATCTCACTGTTTTGATTTGCAATCTCCTGATGTCATATGATGTTGAGTATCTTTCCTGTGCTTATTTACCATTTGTGTATCTTCTTTGGGGAGGTGTCTGTTTAGATCTTTGGTCGACTTTTTTTTCTTTTTTGAGAAGGAGTCTAGCTCTGTCACCCAGGTTGGAGTGCAGTGGTGCAATCTCAGATCACTGCAACCTCTGCTTCCCGGGTTCAAGTGATTCTCCTGCCTCAGCCTTTCGAGTAGCTGGAATTAAAGGCATCCACACCGTGCTCAGCCAATTTTTGTATTTTTAGTGGAGACAGGGTTTCACCATGTTGGCCAGGCTAGTCTTGATCTCCTGACCTCAGGTGATCCGCACACCTCAGCATCCCAAAGTGCTGGGGTTACAGGCGTGAGCCACTGCATCCGGCCCTTTGGTTGACTTTTTAATGGTTGTTTTTTTTTTTTTTTTTTTTCTGATTGTTATTTTGAGTTCTTTGTATATTTTGGGTAAAAGTCCTTTATCAGATATAATACGCAGATGTTTTCTTCTACTCTGTGGCTTATCTTTTCATTCCCTTAACCATGTATTTCACAGAGCAAGTGCTTTTAACATTAATGACATCCAGCTTATCAGTTTTTTTCTTTCATGAATCATGCTTTTGGTGTTGTAGCTAAAAACTTATTGCCAAACTGAAGGTCACCTACATTTTTCTCCTATTTTATTCTAGAAGTTTTACAGTTTTCTGTCTTACATTTATGTCTGTGATCCATTTTATTTATTTATTTATTATTTATTTATTTATTTTTTTGAGATGGAGCCTTGCTGTGTCGCCCAGGCTGGAATGCAATGGTGCGATCTCGGCTCCCTGCAACCTCCGCCTCCTGGGTTCAAGCAATTCTCCTTGCTCAGCCTCCTGAGTAGCTGGGATTACAGGCATGTGCCACTACACGCAGCTAATTTTTGTATTTTTAGTAGAGCCAGGATTTTCCCATGTTGGCCAGGCTGGTCTCGAACTTCTGACCTCAGGTGATCCGCCCACCTCGGCCTCCCAAAATGCTGGGATAAGAGACGTGAGCCACTGCTCCAGGCCGAGTTAATTTTTATGAAAACTGTAATGTCAGTATATAGATTCATTTCTCTCTTTTTTGTATGTGGATATCTAGCTTTTCTAGGACCATTTGTTGAAAAGATTTTCTCTTCTCCACCAAATTCTAACTTGATTTTAACTGTCAAAAGAATAAACAGAACAGACTGGATGCAGTGGCTCATCCCTGTAATCCTAGCATTTTGGGAGGCCGAGGTGGGAGGACTGTTTAAGCCCAGGAGTTCAAGACCAACCTGAGCAATATAGCGAGACCCCTGTCTCTAAAAAAACAATTTTTTAAAAATGTAAAACAAATTAGCCAGATGTGGTAGCATGCACCTGTATTCCCAGCTACTTGGGAGGCTGAGGCGGGAGGATTGCTTGCGCCCAGGAGGTTGAGACTGCAGTGAACTGAGATCATGCCACTGTACTGCACTCCAGCCTGGGCAAGAGTGAGATCCTGTTTAAAAATAAAAGAATAAAGAAAACAGAAATCCACTGTTACTGCGGTGACTAGTGGAACAGTAGGTATGATTTAGTCGGCACAACAGACCTGTTCAGCAGCCCCTGAGAAGAGGGAGCCTTCATTGAGTGTGGCAGTCACCGTGCAGGCGAGAAAACAGAGGCAGCTCCTTCCTTCTCCCCTTTCTGTGCCACTCTACTAGACGGCGTAGACAGCGTATGGTAAGAAGGTGTGAACAAAACATTATGAGAAGACAAAAAGTGCAACTTTTCCTTTTTTGAGACGAAGTCTCTCACTATCACCTGGGCTGGAGTGCAGTGGCACAATCTTGGCTCACCACAACCTCCGCCTCCCAGATTCAAGCAATTCTCCTGTCTCAGCCTCCTGAGTAGCTGAGATTACAGACGCCTGCCACCACGCCCAGCTAATTTTAAAGGCAACTTTTAAATCAGTAAGATTGGGAAATTTTTCACAGAAAAGGTAACTTTGGAACTGAGACTTAAAGAGTAAGTGGGATTTTACCAAAGGTATTCTGGATAAAAGGAATAGCATTTAACATGGCTCAGTGGCATGAGAGAGTATGATGTAATCAGAGACCGCTGGTTGGTTATTTGTGGTTGAAGTAGGCAGTTCCAGGGCATCAATGACAGGAAACAAAGTGATGTGTTGGGGTCAGGTTGGAAGGCATCCACCAGCTTAAGAATTTAGGCTTTCCCTTTGACCATGGTGAATAATGGAAACGGAACGTTTGAAGCAGGGTAGCTGGGTGGATGACATGATTAGATCTGTGTTTTGGAAGAATAATTTTGCTACAGGAGGGGCTGCAGAGGGTAGAGCCAAGGAAGGGAAACCAGCTGGAATGCTAGCCCAAGAGAGAGATGACAGAGAATACATTATGAAATTAACAATAAGAATAAAGACTTGAAGGCTGGGCGTGGTGGCTCATGCCTGTAATCCCAGCACTTTGGGAGGTTGAGGTGTGTGGGTCACTTGAGGTCAGGAACTCGGTACGAGCCTGGCCAACATGGTGAAACCCCATCTCTACTAAAAATACAAAACATAGCCTGGCGTGGTGGCATGTGCCTGTAGTCTCAGCTACTTCGGAGGCTGAGGCAGAAGAATCACTTGAACCTGGGAAGCAGACGTTGCCAAGAGCCAAGATCGTGCCACTGCATTCCAACCTGGGTGACGGAGTGAGATTCTATCTTTAAAAAAAAAAAAAAAAAAAAAAGTCTTGAAGACAAATTCGGGATACCTTCACAGGATAAAATCAAATTACAATATTTGACTGCCTGGCAATGGTTTAATTTGCTTACATTTAAAATAATCAGCATCTAGAATTAATGCCATAACATTCCAAGGAAAGTATTAGTGAATTCAGGAAGACGGGGGGAGTAGAGGAAGTGATTTATCTAAATGTTACCTCTTTCCTGAACACCACTCATTCCCTGAAACATACAAATATGTCTACATCATGGCCACCATCTCAGAAAATTCTTGTTTGCTTTGTTCCATGGAGAGAGGAGCTTTCTGTTTACATCAGATCACAGCACCATGTATTTCTCTTTCATAGCACTTACCCATTATGCTTCTACATTAATGTGAAGAATTACGGGATTATCATTAGTCACTAATGCTTGTCTCTCCCACTATACTAAAAGTTCCATGATGGCAGGAATTCTTACCTGTTATTGTTCATTTTATCTCCAGTACCTAATACATGGTAGATGTGCAATAAATAAATGGATGGATGGAAGGATATGGATGAATGAAATGGATGACTAAGTGGGTTTTGTTTGTTTGTTTGTTTGTTTTTGACAGAGTCTTTCACTGCTGCCCAGGCTGGAGTGCAGTAATGCAATCTCAGCTTACTGCATCCTCCCCTGAGGTTTAAGCGATTCTCCTGCCTCAGCCTCCTGAGTAGCTGGAATTACAGGCATGTGCCACCACACCTGGCTAATTTTTGTATTTTTAGTAGAGACAGGGTTTCATCATGACAGGCCAGGCTGATCCCAAACTCCTGACCTCGGGTGATCCACCCGCCTCAGCCTCCCAAAGTGCTGGGATTACAGGTGTGAGCCACCTCACCCGGCCACTAAGTGGGTTCTGATCATGCTATTGTGTGATTTTGTTGTTGTTGTTGTTATGTCTTTTAAGATCTATCTAAAAATCAGTGATTCTTATGATTGGCTGATCATTAGAATCTCCTAGGCAACTTAAAAATATACAGATTCCTGTTCTTCTTTACCACTGAGTCCTGACTGTGGTTATTTTGAAAATGCTACCATAGTACATTTCTGATGATGAACAAGGATTGAGAAACACCAGCCAACAGTGTCCTATGAGTATCCATTTACTTTTCTTCTGTGTAGTGCTGTGTTCATGTCTGTTGGAGCACTTAACTCATTGTATTGTAATTACTTATGTCTGTTTTCTATTAAACTGTAAGCTACATTAGTGTAGAGTCCATTTCCTAGTTTTCTTTGTTTGTAAAGCAAAACCCAGGGCCACTCAAACAAAGAGTTGGCTCAACTGGCAGACTGAATAGTTTGCACCAGGTTAAGAGATTCTTGTCTGGGTGCCGTAACTCAAGCCTATAATCCCAGCACTTTGGGAGGCCAAGACGGGCGGATCACTTGAGGTCAGGAGTTCAAGACCAGCCTGGCCAACATGGCGAAAATCCCTACTCTACTGAAAATACAAAAATCAGCCCGGTGTGGTGGCGTGTGTCTGTAATCCCAGCTATTTGGGAGGCTGAGGCAGGAGAATTGCTTGAACCTGGGAGACAGAGGTTGCAGTGAGTCAAGATGGTACCTCTGCACTCCAGCCTGGGTGACAGAGCGAAACTCCATCTCAAAAAAAAAAAAAAAAAAACAAAGAAACAAAATTAGCCAGGTGTGGTGGCACGCACTTGTAATCCCAGCTATTCGGGAGGCTGAGGCAGGAGAATCACTTGAGCCCGGGAGGTGGAGGTAGCGGTGAGCCGAGATCGTGCCACTGCACCCCAGCCTGGGCAACAGAGTGGGACTTCATCTCAGAGAGAGAGAGAGAGAGAGAGAGAGAGGAGAGATAGATAGATAGTAACTCATTCTAAATAATGATAAAGCCTCCCATTGGGGGAACATTTTGGATCTATCAAATGCTTATGATTATTGTATTAGTGAGAAACAAAAGTAAGGAGACAAGTTCCAAATAGAGGCTTCTTTTTACTTGCTTTGGTCTCACAAACCCATTCAGCTATGCCTGAGCATCATGTTATTACATGATGTAGGGATGAGCAATAACAAGGAGACAGTTGTTTTTCTCCCATCTTTATCTACCAATTTGCAATCATGAAGGATTGAGTAACTTTTATTCTTCTACCATTAAGGAAGAAAAACAGAAAAAGAAAATGGCTGTAAAGTTGGAACTAGCAAAATTTCTTCAAGAAACCATGACAGAAATGGCAAGGAGGAACAGAGCGAAGATGGGCGATGCCTCTACACAGCTGTCATCCTACGTGAAGCAGGTGTCCATCTTTTATGTAATGCTAAACAACTTCAGGGTTGGGAGTTATATGAAAAACACATGTAATCATGGATTTCCCAAACTGTTCACCATCTTTGGAATTGCAAATATCTAAATTATGAACATACAATATTGTAAACATTTAATATTATAAACATTGATAGTAGTTTGCAGAAAAGCCTGTCTTAAAGTAATCAGCATGTTGAAGACATTGATAACTTCTTGGAAAGAACGGTAGACTTAGAGTCAAACTTCTGAACTCCTGATTTTTCAGCTGATGTAGTTTGACTTCGGATGGATATCTTTTTTTTTTTTTTTTTTTTTGAGACGGAGTCTCGCTCTGTCGCCCAGGCTGGAGTGCAGTGGCCGGATCTCAGCTCACTGCAAGCTCTGCCTCCTGGGTTTACGCCATTCTCCTTTCTCAGCCTCCCGAGTAGCTGGGACTACAGGCGCCCGCCACCTCGCCTGGCTAGTTTTTTGTGTTTTTTAGTAGAGGCGGGGTTTCACCGTGTTAGCCAGGATGGTCTCGATCTCCTGACCTCGTGATCCGCCCGTCTCGGCCTCCCAAAGTGCTGGGATTACAGGCTTGAGCCACCGCGCCCGGCCCGGATGGATATCTTTTCTTTATACCACGAGACCCATTTCCAGATGTCAGAGAGAGTCCCATAAATGCTTTGGTGTCTCTTTCAAATAGCCTATTGGGAAAGTTAACTTAAGTAGGAAACACATTTTAATTGGCCTCTTTGTCCCACTGCATAGGTCCAGACAGGCCACAAGCCCAGCACAAAGGAGATAGTTCGCTTCTCCAAACTATTTGAGGACCAGCTGGCCCTGGAACACTTAGATCGCCCTCAGCTGGTTGCCCTTTGCAAACTGCTAGAAATGCAGACGTTTGGAACCAACAACCTGCTCCGCTTTCAGCTCCTGATGAAACTGAAGTCTATAAAAGCAGATGATGAAGTAAGAGCTTAACCATAGCTCTAGGGAATTAGCAAGGTTTTGGGAGATACCTTAGGGTGCCTGTGGGACGAACTGTGCAGTATTGTTTTTGTTTTTGAGACGAAGTCTTGCTCTGTCGCCCAGGCTGCAGTGGTGCAATCCTGGCTCATTGCAACCTCTGCCTTCCGGGTTCAAGTGATTCTCCCACCTCAGCCTCCCAAGTAGCTGGGATTACAGGCATGCACCACCACACCCGGCTAATTTTTCTATTTTTAGTAGACACAGGGCTTCACCATGTTGGCCAGGTTGGTCTCAAACTCCTGACCTCAGGTGATCTGCTTGCCTCAGCCTCCCAAAGTGCTAGGATGACAGGTGTGAGCCACCACGCCTGGATAGAAGTGCAGTATTTTCCATTGGGTCTGGTCATGTTGGGTTCTGACAAAATGAGTGGTTTAAACAACCATTACCATGACAACTTGAACCTTGATTACTCATTTGAGGAGTTGTCATCCCCTTTCCCATTTATTGAGAAGGCCATCATAAGCAGTTAGTAATTTGGATGTCTTAGCTGGGACTCATCTAAAGCAGTTAGGACCTGCTGGGAAGGAAATAGCAGCTCAGTAGATTCCTGACAAAGCTCTGCTCCCACACTTGTGCTCTCATACCGGGAAGCTGGTGCCAAAGTCAATATTCTGCTGGGCGCGTTGGCCTGCCAAGAAGGGGTAGTTGGCTTGGTATGCAAAACATAATGCTGGGAGGAAAAGCAGAGCCTCAACACCTTGTAGAAGAAAGGCACCCTTGGACTATAACTACTAATTAGGCTTTTTGAAAAAATGGAAGGAATGTTTCTTGACTCAGAATCAGCTGCTTTATAAGCATTCCGCCTGGGGGAGCAGGTTTCCCGGAACTGAGAAAGCATGATCCCTTTGGCCCCATTTAGATTTCAGTTGTTGCTCTTAGAGCTTTGCAATAAACAACACTGGTCCCAGAAATACCATAGTTTTGGGTTACGCCAAGCAGAAACTGTGTTATTTACTGAGGGAGTTTTGTGGATCAGTGTGTCAGGGCCATTTCTGGGGGTGGTGGGGGGACAGCAGGGGAAAACACTACAGGGACATGCAACAAATGGTACATTGTGAGTTTTTCAAGTGAACTACTTTTTTCTAATGAACCATAAAGCTGCCACGGAAGAGAAAAGTAGGTATGTCACAACCAGACAAAATGCAGATCAAGAGGGGAAATAATTACTCTGATGACAGAATGTTGGGGAGAAGTTGTGTAAATATCCCTAATATTGCTAATACCTGTTGGCAGGATTCCTGTTATTTCAACTGCCACCTGCCTACATCGCCTTTGCTGCAGCAGCCAGTGCAAGGTACAAAGTGTCCAAGCCTCCGATTCTGTTTCCACTGACTTACTGGAATTTAGGGATTGCATAAAATTGGAATCAAAAGCTCCAGCTCCATCCCTTACATTTCTTTCAGATAATTGCCAAGGAAGGGGTGAGGGCATTGAGTGTATCAGAACTACAGTCTGCCTGTAGGGCCCGAGGGATGAGATCATTGGGTCTCACGGAGGAACAACTGCGACAACAGCTCACGGAGGCAAGTAGCAGCACCCCTCTGGGGTCCTCTTCCCTAGAAGTCTCTTCTACAATATGCAGACCTCCTTATGTGATTTCTCCTTTGCAAGTGAACCGTCTTACCTAATTTGCCTTATTTCATTGAGCACTGGGATGTTGAAGAACTAGTTGATTTTTCACTTTGATTGGGATCTCTATCAGTTTTCCATTGCTGCCTACGAAATGACCATGAACTTAGTGGCTTAAAACAACACCGGTATATTAGCTCACAGTTGGTAGGTCAGAAGTGCAGGCTGTCTTCCTTTGGAGGCTGTGGGAAACGACCTGCTTCCAAGTTCATTCAGTTTGTTGGCTGAACCTAGTTCCTTGCAGCTGTCGAACTGAGGGCTTTGTTTCCTGGCTGGCTGTGAGCCCAGGGCTACTCTCAGCATCTAGTGGCCACCTGTATTCCTTGCCTCTTGGCCTCCTTCATCTGCAAAGCCAACATCAGAGAACTTCTTATATGCCAGAGCTTCCTTGTGCTTGAAATCTCCAATTTCCCCTGCGTTTGACCTCTAGCCCCAGACTGAAGGTCTCATGTGATTGGTGAGGCCCATCCAAAGATTCTCCCTATCTTAAGGTCAACCGACTTGGGACCTCAGTTACACCTGTAGAATCCCTTCACACAGCACCTAGAATACTGTTGAATAACTAGGAAAGAGTGTGGGTGCTGTAGGGACAAGGTGTCTTGGAGCCACCTCAGAATTTTGACCTACTCCACGTAGTGTAAAGGGTCCTGGCAAAAATTTCAGTTCAAGGCCTGTTATCTGTGTGAATCTGTCTGGAGGTTCCCACTTTGCCTGGTGGCCCACCTGGGGCTGCTTTTCAGTTAGTGCCCCAAACCAACACACGCTGTGGTAACCCATGTTTAATATTTTTCCTCAGATAGCATATTTGTACTTTAAGAGCATCCATGCTTTAAAACAAAGGAGTAACTCCTATTACATTTCATTCCCATCATTGTAAAAAATGCCATGAAGAGTGCGCAGATAATCTTAGGATACCAGCCTTGGCTTGGAAACCGTGTTAGGTCACTTTTTCCTCTCATATGTGGGACCAGCTCTGGTTGGAAGACAGCACATTGTAGAGAAAGATCCTTAAAATCATGTATTTCTTGAACGTTGGCTATGACATGGTCACTGCACAAGCTTTGTGAATTTTTTTTATGGTACTTTTTGAATTTTATCTTTTGTGCATATATTACTGATCTTAAGAAGACAGGGTCTCACTCTGTCACCCAGGCTGGAGTGCAGTGGCATTAACACAGGCCACTGCAGCCTCAAACTCCTGGGCTCAAGCAATCCTCCCACCTCAGCCTCCCTAGCTGGAACCACGGGCATGTACCACTATACCCAAATAATTAGAAAATTTTTTTGTAGAGACAGAGTCGCCCTGTGTTGCTCAGCCTGTGATTTATTCTTTCACATTATCTACACTTTGTCCAGGAGAAGATACTTGACTGGGTTGACAGTTTAATTGAATTCTCCGAGAGTGATTCCACCATAGTGAAGGAGTTGGCAGGGTACCCCCTCAGTGCAGAAGCCAGGGCTGGGCTCCTGTCCGTGTTCTGCCGTTACTCATCACCTGAGCGGCTTGGCGGAAGGGGCGGGGGCGGTGGGAAGGTGTCGGCGAGCGAGGCGGTAGATCACCGCGGATCACTCCGGCTCTGGCGTTCTGTGATTCTCACGTGTTGTTCCCCTCCTGTTTTCCAGTGGCAGGACCTCCACCTGAAGGAGAACGTCCCTCCTTCCCTTTTGCTCCTGTCCCGCACCTTCTACCTGATAGATGTGAAGCCCAAGCCTATTGAGATACCACTCAGCGGGGAGGTGAGTACCTGGGCTCACACCCTCATCGTCCATCCAGCTGAGGCCTCTCCATAAACATTTGGTGTACTCCTGCAGTCAGAGCAGGCATTTCTTTTGGCCTTTTAGAATTTGGCCCAACTGGCTTTATGTTTTAAAAATTCCTGAAAAACCAACCAACCACAACAAAACAAAGGCCAGGCACCGTGGCTCACACCTGTAATCTCAGCACTTTGGGAGGCCGAGGTAGGTGGATCACCTGAGGTCAGGAGTTCAAAACCAGCCTGACCAACATGGTGAAACCCCTTCTCTGCTAAACATACAAAAATTAGCGGGGCATGGTGGTGGGCGCCTGTAATCCCAGCTACTTGGGAGGCTGAGGCAGAATTGCTTGAACCTGGGAGGCGGAGGTTGCAGTGAGATGAGATCACGCCATTGCACTCCAGCCTGGGCAACAGAATGAGACTCCATCTCAAACAAAACAAAACAAACAGAAAACTGAAGCCACTCAGACTACCTGCAGCCTTGCCTTAAGGCTGCTACTGCCTTTGAGCCCAGTTTGAGAATTTTACTAATAGGAGCAGTTTATTCCTTTTCCTTAACTATCTCATCTTCATTAGATGACTTGTGTGTGTGGGTGTTTCTGTTGCTTTCTCCTTTTAGACTGAATGTTTCCTGTTCATTTGTCCAGATTCCTATTAGTTTTTAAGCACTGAATAGCTAATCTAGAATGCCCTTCAACTCATTTCCTTAGTCATTTTTCTTCCTGGTGTTGTAGGGAAGAGCATAGGATTGGCCCAGTCACTATAGCATCTTGCGCTGGGCCCATCAGAAAGGGCCTCCCGCTTCTATAGCTGGTGGCTTCCTGTCTGACTCAGAACCCCGCATGAGTAAGAAAGGAGACTCTTGTAGAAGATGCTACACTGTGGTTTAGGGGATTAGTCCAAGTACTAAGTGAGGGCCATTTTATATCTTAATTACGCTGTTGGCTCCTCGGACAAGCCAAGGAAAATTATCTGAAGTCCAGTATGAAAACCCAACTTCAGGAAACACCATCTTGCTTTCCCTTTTCATATTTCTAGAGTAATCTGGTTTTGGGATTTGTCCAGGAAAAACTCTAGGGAGACTAGGAGCAGTTTCAGAGTATAGACCATGTTCTAAAAGGCAGACTAGTGGGTTCTTATTCTATCCAACTCAAGGAACCATTCATGTAAGACAGACCAAAGTCAATAGTCATTCTTAGATTGCTCTCAGGGGCTAGGAAATCTTGGAGGAGCTCACTGTCTCAGCTAAATTTGGGTTCTCAGAATTATTCTAGAGAGCCATCAGCTCTTTTATCCAGACGTTGCTTTCTGGAGTAGGTGAGAAAGGAATTAAGGACAAAATGATAAGCTCCTAAGCAATTTATTGGCTTTTTCCCACCCATGTTTTTAAACTTCTATTCTCCATGTATATATACAAAATGAGAACAAGTAGCATGCTAGGTTCTGTGAAGAATAGAGACATCAAATATACTGTAATTTTGGATGTATGTAGCCTTATCCCTCCAAAGTACACAAATAACTTTCAAAGCACAGTGATGTTTTTCAAATCTAATTCCTAAAGATAGGTTAGCTAGCTATTCTATCACCACCCCCATTCTGATCGTAATCTATAATACCACTCCTCCCCCCATCTTCCCTGCATTACAGGAGCTTACCATTTTAGTAAATCAGGCTATTTTATCATTTATTATTAGATACTAAAAATGAAAAAGATGCAACATAGACCAAGTTGTATCAATGCTATTAGAAAATAACTGAGACCAGGTGCGGTGGCTCATGCCTGTAATCACAGCACTTTGGGAGGCTGAGGCAGGCAGATCACCTGAGGTCAGGAGTTCAAAACCAGCCTGGCCAACATGGCGAAACACCGTCTCTACTAAAAATACAAAAATTAGTAGCCAGGCATGGTAGTAGGCGTCTGTAATCCCAGCTACTCAGGAGGCTGAGGCAGGGAGAACTGATTGAACCCGCGAGGGGGAGGTTGCAGTGAGCCGAGATCGAGCCACTGTACTCCAGCCTTGGTGACAGAGCAAGACTCCATCTCAAAAAAAAAAAAAAAAAAAAAAGGAAAAAAATAATTGAGAAATGACTTTTTTTTTTTTTGAGGCTGACAGCAGGACCAGTACCATCAGTGGTTTGCTAATGATTATTTTAAATGCTAGAATCTATCCGAGTGCAACTTTTGTATACAAAGGACTCAAAACTCAAAGAGAAATAATACTAAGTTGCTATGTCAGGGGCATATTTCATGGTACTCATAAAGGGTGGAGCTGGAGGAGGAAGCTAGGGATTTAGTGGAAAGCAAATTGTGCTAAAAAAGGCATTGACTACTATAAAAGTTTATGGGTTTTAGGAAGAGCAGAAAGCTTATTATACATAAAATGTTTCTCTCCCCAGGCTCCAAAGACTGATATTCTTATGGAACTACCTACTTTCACTGAATCTAAAGAGAACATAGTGGATCTTGCACCTCAACTGAAGGGAACTAAGGTTAGACAGTTACTTTCCATTTGGTTAGATTAAAAAATGAAAATAGCAATGGGTCAATTTCTCCTGTTTTAATCTCCTTAATGAAACTGAAATTCAATACAATAATGTTCCTTAATAAGGAATATTTATTGTACTGTTTGATCTGTTTCTAAGAGGAAGCTTATTATTTGGCTATATGTAATTAGGTTCCAGATTTTGCCTTTTGAATCTTGTGCCAGGATATGAGGTAGCTGTGACAAGTTCCGGGTAGTCAAGGTAGTGGACTGTAGATTAATACATTTTGTTTTAAATCAGTAACCCAACTCTTGGTTCTGATGTTTAAGGATGAAGACTTTATACAGCCGCCACCAGTTACATCATCACCCATAACACCATCAACACCAATTTCATTACCTAAAGGATCCATCACTTCTTCTAAAGAAGCTGTAAGTATCTTTAGTAAATGAAAAAGAAAAACCCTCTCCCTCCAGTTATCTTTAAGGGTAGTGAGAATCTAGAATTAGTCCTGTTGCAAAACACTGCACAATTCTTCCTGTTGTCCAAACAGGAAATTGTAGGCTGAACTTTAGTCATCTTATAACCACGTTTTTTACTTCAACTATCCAAAAGCAAAAAACAACCAATACAATTGTGGGTCAGACTAAAACATGCTTACAAGCCAGTTACAATATAGGCAGACCCTTTTTTTCTTATGTGCCAGATGGAAATAGTTTCCATGTGTTGTGTATTTTACACAGGCTTCTGATGTCAGGAAATGCTAGCTGGAAAGCAACTTGAATTTCAGGAGAAATGCACGTAAATAAGAAATTATCTATCATCCAGTCTTCCCAATTGGGTGAAGGGATTTGGGGCAAGAGCACAGGGCATGAAGAGTAAACAGTGGGGAGGTTGTGGGAGAGTTGAAGTGGGAAGTGGCTCCTGTGGACCAAAGACACGCTGGCAAGACAGAGAATCTATTAAGACACATATGGGTTAAGCCCAGAAAAGCATCCCAAGCACACACAGACCTTGTTTTTTGTAAATCTCCTGTATCTTTTATTACCAAGGTAAATTATAATCTCAGATTTGACTTTGTGGTCTGTCACTATTTTGATTAAGAAAACAAAAATGGCATTCACTCCTTAAGAACTTACACGTCTGTGACTAATGCCTACAGTCCTTTTGTTTTTTACGCCTAGACACTCCAGGCCAAATCACAAATGACGGCCCAGAACAGCAAGGCTAGTTCAAAAGGAGCATAAGGACTACTTGAGGATGGAGCTCACTCTCTCCAGCTTCCGGCCCTCAACAGTGGCATCTGTAAAGGACCTCCCAGCTAAGACTCTCTGTCTGGCTTCAGAGAGTGGATCAGTCGTTTAGCCCATGGGGCAGTCCTTTGAGGCCTGGTAACCATTCCAGGTGATGTGAGTAGTGAGACCAAGTTCAGACCCCTTATAAAAATATAATTGCAAAGTCCCATTTCCTCTGTGCCATTGTCACCCCCCACCATGTTGTTTTTTTAATTTCATGTGTATGTCCCTTAAGAGAGGAAATTTTTTTGCACAATGGAATCAGCTTGGCACCTTAGATACCTCTGTCTCCTATGGCTTGGAATTCTGAGTAAGAACTTGGAAGTTCCAAAAACCATTTTAGGAGCACCTGATTAACTTTCTGAATGATCCACCAGTAGAATCAGCATCCTGGAAACAAAGTACCTTATGAGACGGGATGGATATACTCCCCAAAAGATCTTTCTGGATATAATGAAGCTTCTTGGAGAAAATGGGGAGTTAAACAGACTGGCAATCAGAAAGATTTGGCTGCTTCTGACATCCCCCTCTTGGGCCTGCAGAGGCTGCAGCAATCTGCTAGGCAGCCACTCTTCTAGCGCATATGGCTTTCATTAGCCACCATTTTGCTAGGAAGCATAATTAAGGGTTTAAACCTTAATCATTTGTTTGTGTTGGGTGTGTGTGTTTCTGGCCAGTTTGTCTTTCACAAGACTATTTATTAGTCATAGGGGTTGTGAAGGTCTGATATAATCCCTGTGCTACCCAGCAACAAGTATCACATTAGGATATTTATGTTTGATGTTTTCAGTATTAATAATACTGAAATAATAGACTGCCATGTAGCTGACCAAGGGCTTTCTTCCCTTGGGGAGTGGTTAGAAGGCCAAAGGTATTTCAGCCTGTAGGTGATAAAATTAGATTCACTTGCTGTGGTTAGACAGCAGTCAGTTAAAATAAGTAAAACTCAACTGTCCTGTGTGGGATCACCTAAATGAGGAACGTCACCAGCACTTCGAAACAAGAATATGTATTCTACAGTGCTTTCTAGACTTCTGCTCCATCACAGAAGCCCCACCATGTCCCACTAATGAAGCCCAGTTCTTTGGGAATGATGAATCCCTACTGTGCAAATACAGCAGTCATGGATCCTGCCTAGCGAGGTGATTCACAATACATTTTCCCGTTTCAAAAATGACGGGTGTTTTAATTAGTCCACATTTCAGGTGTTAAATGTGGGAAAAGGATTAGCTAGTTAAACTTGCTCAATCATGTTTTAGCTGAATGAGTCATAGGTACTGCTGGGCTGTCCTACAGTTCCTTCTGGCTTTCCCTCCGAGCAGGGTGGGAATGAGCAGTGACCCGGTCAAAGGACCCGGGCCACTTGATACACCTCTCCTCCCACTCTCCTGCTAGCAGCTCAGAGAAGTCAAGGATGTTTCGTTGTTCTCATCACTTAGGGTGCTTGGCTGTTGGGTTCAATGATCCTTACATCTAATCCCAGCTAGTGGTGTTCTGGTAAATCGTTAACCACCAACTCTTTGAGGGGGAAAAACCCTGATTTATAGCATCTGGTTATTCCAGTGATATAAATCCTCCCACCATGTTGATTTCAAGCCACTGCCAAGGTACCACTGGACAGTGCAGAGCTGGGAGGAGACATGCAGTGTCCCCTGAGAGCCAGCACCACACACCACACTGGTGCTAGCCTCCCGGGGTAATGAGACAGTTACACCTCTAGTTAGCATGTTTATGAAATAGATCCCTTCTGTGTGCGGAGACCTGCATGTGGGGCAGTTACGGTGGAAATGCTCCTGAATACTGGAGGGTCCTAGAGGGAACCCGCCCAGACCAGGTCTTAGCAGTTGGGTTCTTACTGACCACCCTCTTCTCTGGCTCTCCTCAGCAGAGGGAATGGAAGGCTGTTCCGGCTGCTTCAGAGCTTTCTCCTCTCTGCTCCCTTCTCTATAGATGCAGATGCCTTGGCTCTACCTGCTGCTAATGATCTCATTGGGTATGACTTTTGACTTTTTTTTTTTTTTTTTGAGACAGTCTTGCTGTCACCCAGGCTGGAGTACAGTGGAGCGATCTTAGCTCACTGCAATGTCCGCCTCCTGGGTTCAAGCAACTCTCCTGCCTCAGCCTCTGGAGTAGCTGGGATTAAAGGCATGCACCACCACACTTGGCTAATTTTTGTATTTTTGTAGAGATGGGATTTCACCATGTTGGCCAGGCTGGTCTGGAACTCCTGACCTCAGGTGATCCGCCTGCCTCAGCCTCCCAAAGTGCTGGGATTACAGGCGTGAGCCACCATGCCCAGCCACTTTAGGCATTCTCTAAAACCCAACTGCAGTGATGCTAGATGTGGCCTGTGTCTCACATAGAATTCTGCTACAATAGAGAGGTGGTGGCCACTAACACTTACGGCCTTGCACTTGTGTCATGTCTAATTCTATACTTAAATCATTCCGAAACAAGCCATATCAGTGCTGTCCAATCAATTTTTCCGTAATGCCAAATCTAGGCTAAAGAGTTCCCACTCACCACCAACACATACTAGCAGGTAGTAGTTGGACCAATGTGACTTGAGAGCTGACTGGTGGTTCACCTAATGCCAACTGAAACTTCAGCTCGCTGGCTCCACCCAGTGGTAGCTAATAAGCACAGCAACCTCATTAACATTGAGACAGATTTCCTCCCTCATCTGATGTTCAATCTTACTTACCTGAGATCAATACATTACATTAGCAGGGCCAAGGGACCGATGATCTTCAGCCTATGGCAATTAGAAAAGACGGAAAGGCAGTATTGATTACTGCTGTGGTGATCCCAGCCCTAATCTTTTAACCCTCAGGAAACCAGACAGACTCAGTGCCTTGATGGCACAACATCTTCATTAGATAAACTGGATTCCTTTCCTCAGGAGACCCAATCTGGTCCTCTATGTAAAATGGCCATTTCATTTTCTCTCAGGTCAATTTCACTCTCTTTTATGTGACAGCTAGTGCAGTCTTTGGGGAAATTCGTGGGTGATTTGAGTAGTAACAGCAAGGACATCACTGTAATTATGATAGTGCCATATATTTTTCTAGCACCTCTCCCAAGGGCTTATGAAGCCTTTTAGAGTCTTCATCCCTTCACACAACATTGCTTCAAGGTAGGGCCAAAGCAGAATATCATCACTGTTTTACAAGGAAAGACACTCCTGTGTGGTCTCAAAGCAAATGCTTTTAAGAGCTAAAAATTCCTTTCCCAGCTCTTCACCAAATGCCTTCTTTAAACATAAATACAAATTGTAATGTTAGCAGGTGCGTATTTACAGAGAGAAACAAAGATAATTTTACAATAGTGACCAATACTGTAGCTGCCAAAAAAAATCCTAGCTCAGAAATTTAAAGCAGCAATCCCATTTTCCCTACAGAAATGAAAACATACTGAACTTTCTTTTGTATTTAGCAGTAATCCAGCAAAATGTAAGCTTTAATATAGCGACTGAGGAGTGGTAGTTTGAGCCATGAGGTACCGGGGAGCCAGAATCCGCCTGGTGAGGACAGTGATGACCAGCAGGTGGCAGAAGTAAATTCCAAGCAGCCAAAAAAACAAAAGCATTCGGAGAATTTTCCCCCCTTCCTGAGGGGTAGGGTGGAGTTTGGACAGGAAGAACTGTAAGAAGCCAAGATCTGCGACAGTCCCAATAAATACAGTCTGGTCACAAGGATACAGGAAGGACGATCTGGGGAGGAATACCAACAAGAAACGAAGCCAGGGACCTGAATGCAGAACTAGCCTCAGGTGACATGTTCTCCTGCACTTACAAGCACCGGCAAAACCACGCCCACACAGATGGGGCAGACACATGTCTGGGTTTCAGCTTCTGCAGACCTTCATCATTTGCTTTCCTTTCTGTTTTCTCTGTCGCCCAGGCTGGAATGCAATGGCACAGTCTCCGCTCACTGCAACCTCCGCCTCCCAGGTTCAAGGCATTCTCCTGCCTCAGCCTCCTGTGGAGCTGGGATTACAGGCGCGTGCCACCATGCCTGGATAATTTTTATATTTTTAGTAGAGATGGGTTTTCACTAAGTTGGCCGGGATGGTCTCGAACTCCTGACCTTAAGTGATCTGCCCACCTCGGCGTCCCAAAGTGCTGGGATTACAGGTGTGAGCAACTGTGCCCTTGGCTACCTCTTAATCACTTTAGCTCTACCTGGTGGCCATTCCTAGGTAGGTGCCCCCTCCCCAGCCCAACCCCACCGGTTTCCTTGGAGGAAACCATCCATGGTGGTTGGCTGCTGGGCCTTGACTCTCCGCCCAGCGCGTCTAGTGCATGGATGGGGTTCCTGCCCTCGACGCAGACATCTTCTTTTTCTGACTTTCCAAAAGTAGCGGAGAGGCAGGAGGTGCGTCGTGAGGTCTGGGTGCAGGACCTAGGAAGAAGAGGTTACAAGGAACCTGCGCCAGGAGCGTGCAGTGCCCTCGGGACAGACCTAGCCCCAGGGCCCGTGGGTGTCTCTTCTTTCCAGTGGACATTCCCACCCTTTTCACACAGCCCATAGAAAAATGAAGCAGCAGCAATTTTTATTGAGGGACCTAAACTGAAAATAGGTTTAGAACATAATTTAAAAAACTAAAACAGCAAAAGTAGCAAAAAATATATGACCTTTTTAAAAACATTTTTCTTTTTTTTCTTTTTTCTTTGTTTTTAATATATAGCAACTGATGCCTCCCAGCCACCAGGAGCATCTTACCCGATGGGTAAATCTCTGGTAACGACCCTTTTAAAAAGACATGTAAATATATACTCAGATTTATACACTTTGTGTTTTCTTCATAGCTATGTACAGAGCCCCCAGTTCGGGGCTGGGCCCCAGGGCCACAACACTGCCCCCAACCTGGCCTTCACCTCACCATCCTCTGGTACCAGGCATTTGGTGAGCAAAGCAAACTAGTATCGGAATTAGTAAAGCCACTGGCACCACCCATCTGGAGCAGAGGTCACCTTCGATCGAGGCTCGAAGCACTGACCTCCCTACTGCTGTAGCCCTGAGGACAAGGCACCTGCCACCAGAGTGCAAGGGGCTTACGGGTGAAGGCGAAACAGACCAAACTGACAGGAGAAAGCTCAGGAAGCTCTCACTTGCATGCCTGTTCATCGGCTCCCACTCCCCGCCCTCCAGGCAGTGCCTGGTGGCAGGGAGGGGTCTTGGTCCAACATCTGGGAGGGGATGAAGTGGCCGGCAGCAAAGATCTGCCTCTTTGCACCTCTCACCAACAGGTGGAGAGGAGGCGGAGGAGGAGGTGAGCTGAGTGGGGTGAAGGCAGGCCACACAGGAAGGCCCCCGGTAGGCAGCGGGCTCCTGCCAGCAGGAAAGGGGACAGGGACGGACAGGCAGTGGGCCTGGCAGGGGCTGTGGGTGAGGGTTACAGCTGACGGTAGAGTCTGGGGAGGGCGTGTGGGTGGCAGTCAGCGGCGTTTGAGTCCGCCATTGGCAAGCTGGGCTGGGTGTCGGGGCAGGCAGGGCTCCTCGGGCAGCGGCTCATGAGAGAAGACGGAATCCTCCCCTGAGGAGCATGTAGAGCTCCGGGTGTCGGGAAAGCTCGGGGAGTACTGGTCCAGGGGCATGGACAGGTCCAGGTACTCCTGTGATGGGCGAGAGGAAGCAGTGATGGGCCGGGCCCCTCCTCCCTACTCAGGGAGGTGCATGCACGCAGTGGGGACAGCCTGAGCTCTGGCTCTGGCATGGGCAGCCTTACCTGGTTGGAGGTCAAGGCCACGATGCGGTCCAGGTCTTCCACCAGCTGCTTGAAGGTGGGTCTCTGTGAGGGCACTGCATGCCAGCAGTCCCGCATCATCATGTACCTGCAGCAGGACCGTAAGGTCAGGGAGGAAGGGCCGCCTACTGGAGATGGACACCCTCTCATCTAACCCCCTGCCCCTCAAGCCCACTCTTGCCCCAGGGCCTGCCTCAGGGCCTCCGACATCTCCTCGGGCTTACAGCTCGTTGGTGCAGTTACTGGGCTTGTCCATGCGGTGACCCTCCTTCAGCAGCTTGAAAAGCTCCTCCACAGGCACACCAGGGTATGGGGAGCCGCCCAGAGTGAAGATCTCCCACAGAAGCACCCCGAAAGACCACCTGCAAATAAGCGGAGAGCCACGGGGTGTTAGAGCTTCTCCGCCTCCCCTCCTCCAGCACAAATCCTCCACCCAGGGCAGTGCCAGGAGACAGAGTGGAGAACAGATCAGCCTTTCAACATCTGGAGCAGAGGAAATGACCACAGACAGTGTTTTGTTTTCCTCTCGGGTGGAAGGAGGACTCCTCAGTCCAGGGAGAATGCAGGACTCTGCAGTGCTAGCAGCTCTCTATCCCACACCTCCCTGGCAATTGCTGTTACAAACTCACACATCACTCTGGTGGGTGTAGATCCGGTCAAACAATGCCTCGGGCGCCATCCACTTCACAGGCAGTCGACCCTGAAAGCAGCACAGGGGAGGTTGGCGTGGCCCCAGGCAGGGCTGTGAGAGCACAGGTGGGAAGGGACGGGGGGGGGGTTCTGAGCCCACCCCACTCCTAGCTTCTCAGATGAAACCACCAGCATAGGGCAGCCCTGTTGGCACTCACGTTGGTTGTCTTTTTATAGTAGTCGATGTGGTGAATGTCCCGTGCGAGGCCAAAGTCTGCTATCTTCATCACATTGTCCTCTGTCACCAGGACATTCCTGGCGGCCAGGTCTCGGTGTATGCACTGAGGACGGAGGAAGGGAGAGTGGGAAGCGGGGAGGTGAGGGAGCTGGAAGGCTCTGTGGGGGGGGCTGCCACCCATGCAAACTGGCCGACTTGTGTCATAGGACTTCTGCCACACTGCTCTGCCCCCGAACCTCTGCTTTCCCTCCTCTAATATTCTCTGCCAGCATCAGGCTTCTCATCACAGCAAGCGCTCCTCCCTTCCCTCCCCAAATGCTGGCCCCTTATGCCTCTGCTGGGTCTGCAGGGGTGCGTGCTCCCAGGTCCTGCCTCCCAGCACTGCAAGTCCACATGTGGCTGGGCTCAAACCAAGCCAGCCCTTACACACCAAACACTGCACTCAACACTCACAGTTAGTTTCATTTTATTCTCATAACAATTCTACAACAGGTGTTGTTATACTTTATTTTCTTTTGAGACAGGGCCTTGCTCTGTCGCCCAGGCTGGGGTGCAGTGGTGTGATCATGGCTCAGTGCAGCCTCAAACTCCTGGGCTCACGCTAGCCTCCCATCTCAGCCTCCCAAGTAGCTTGGACTACTGGCACGCACTACCACACCCAGCTAATTTTTTTTTTTTTAAAGACGGGGTCTCACTATGTTGCCTAACCTCGTCTCAAACTCCTGAGCTCAAGCAATCCTCCCACCTTGGCCACTGCACCCAGCTGATATTATTCTTATTTTGTATTCGAAGAATTTTAAGATGCTAAGTAGCTGCCTGAGGCTACGCAGAAAGTGGCAGTGCACACATCTGACCTTCTATCAGTCTGACCCCAAGGCCACCTGGCTACACGGGTTCTCCTGACTCTGTGGTTCCCAGAGAGCCTAAGACAACACACAGGGTACACATGGCCAGTGCTCAGTGCATCTACAATGCTACCACAAGATGACAAGTCACAGGCTGGAGGACTGGGGGGGGCTCTGTTCCCACCCTGGCATTACCCAGGGGAGCCTTCAGGTTCCACACCTTCTTGGAGGCCAGATACTCCATGCCTCGGGCCACCTGATAGGCGCAGGACACCAGGTCCTTGGAGGAGAGCTGCTCCTCTGGGTTGTGGCTGGGGTTGTAGCAGTATTCCAGCCCCGGGGGCCTCCGGGCCTGCAGGTACTCCCGCAGGTTGCCCTTGGAGGCATACTCCACGATGACATACAAGGGACCTGCGGGCACAGGAGAAGAGGCCACGGGGCCAGCAGCAGGTGAGCAGGTTTGGCTTCACCTCAAAGAAACCCCATCCCCAGCAGCATACCCTGGCCACCTCCCCTCTCCTGCCTCCTCTTAGGGGACCTGGGAAATCCATTCTACTACCCAAAGAAAATCAGAGAAATAATTATTCCCTGCATAGTCCAGAAAATTCTCAAGCAACATTGGGGTAAGAGCCCCAGTTTGTCTGTTTATTTATGTTGAGATGGAGTCTCACTCTGTTGCCCAGGCTGGAGTGCAGTGGTGCAATTTTTGGCTCACTGCAACCTCCGCCTTCTGGATTCAAGCAATTCTCCTGCCTCAGCCTCCCAAGTAGCTGGGATTACAGGCATGCACCACAACGCCTGGCTTTTTTTTTGTTTTTTGTTTTGGGATGGAGTTTTGCTCTTGTTGCCCAGGCTGGAGTGCAATGGCGTGATCTCGGCTCACAACAACCTCCGCTCACGGCAACCTCCGCCTCCCGGATTCAAATAATTCTCCTGCCTCAGCCTCCCGAGTAGCTGGAATTACAGGCATGTGCCACCACGCCCAGCTACTTTTTGTATTTTCAGTAGAGACAGGGTTTCACCTGTTGGCCAGACTGGTCTCAAACTCCAGACCTCCCTCAAGTGATCCACCTGCCTCGGCCTCCCAAAGTGCTAGGATTACAGGTGTGAGCCACTGTGCCTGGCCTATTTATTTTATTTTTGAGACAGAGGGAGTGTCTCCCAAGCTTGAGTGCAATGGCATGATCTCGGCTCACTGCAACCTCCACCTCCCGGGTTCCAGCAAGTTCTTGTGCCTCAGCCTCCCGAGTAGCTGGTATCATAGGCATGCACAACCAGGCCTGGCTAATTTTCATATTTTTAGGAGAGACGGGGTTTCACCATTTTGGCCAGACTGGTCTTGAACGCCTGATCTCAAGTGATCCACCTGCTTGGCCTCCCAAAGTGCTGGGGTTACAGGTATGAGCCACTGCACCCAGCCTGAGCGCTCTTAGCCCATAATTACTCAGCTGCCTCTGTTAACACACCGTGTGTGTGAATCTAGGTATCTGTATTCTTGAATGAACACCAATGAGCGGAGCCCAGACCCTGAAATAACACATTTTAACCTCTGCTAATGTGGCCTCTCTTAACCCCCTTCCCTAACTGTGGCTGAGAGAGGCCTTGGGACTGATACCGCAGCTCAGATCTTCTGCCGGCTGGGCAGGGAAGGCCAGTCTGGCCGGTACCCACCGTCCTGCGTGCAGGCCCCCAGCAGGTTGATGATATTCTTATGCTTCCCGATCATCTTCATCATCTCCATTTCTGAGATCAGGTCTGACAAGTCTTTCTCTGTTGCGTCCGCTTTAAAGAACATGTTGAGACTCATTTACTTGGGAAGGGAGGGCAGGATAAAGGCTAAGGGAGTGGGGTATGTGTCGAGGGGCTGCTTTTCCCTGGGACTTGATTCTCTCCTCCCCACTTCCATCCAAACTTATTTTCTCTTCCGTCTAATGGGAGTCGTTGTTGCAATAGGTGGTAGTGAGTGGGCAGGGATGTGAGGAAAGCCTGCAAGCGATGGATCCAGGATAAACACCTGACCGCAGCCCAGGTTGATACCAAGGAACAGAGTGAGGTCACTGAACAATCTCAGGGTGCAGAACACCCCCTCCACTCCCAGGTAACCCCAAGCAGGCAGGGGAGCAGGGGTGGGCAGCAAAGGCACCAGAGAAGCTGTTCTGCTGGGTCCGAGGCCTGCTGCTTGCTTGGAACGGGACAAGATTTTCTTTGCAAGGACAGAAGCATCACTTACACTTCAACATCTTCACAGCCACTTTGGTCACACGGTTGGGTTTGTCCTTGTCCAACCCGATGGCCTCTGCCAACACCACCTGCCCAAAGCAGCCCTCTCCCAGGGGTTTGCCTAAGACCAGTCTTTCAGGGAAAACAGAGAGTGGCATAAGTTGGGGCTGGTGAAGTTCAAACCTTGAGAGGCACCCCATCTCCACCTCTCTGTATTTCACCCAACTGCAAGCAGAAAGTGGCAATGTTTCTGCAGGCATTTCATGAACCTTCACCGCCCAGAAGGTGTTAGTATATGCACCTTCCACCACTAGAATAGCAAGCAAGGAACGCCTTCAAAAAGTTGGGAGTTAAAGTATTATTACCTGTCCCGAGGCAGCTCCCAGCGAGGGTCTTCAGGAAGCTCATACTCGGAGACCCCTGCTAGCATGGGAGTCCCACTGGAGGAGAGCCGTGATGGCCGAACCAGAAGAACCCCAGAGTTCATGGACGCACTGGAGTCAGCAGACACCTGCAAGGAAGAGTGGGGTCACCCTAGAGCAAGGAGCGGGGTCAAGGGTGACTCCTTTCAATTCCTAGTCAGGGCTTCCCAACAATAGCAGAGACACGTGTCTGTGTATCTGATGTTCCTTTCCCAACACAGAGTGTTTCAAAGACCATGGCAGGCCAGGAGGCCCAACTTCTAGGACTGACCTATTTCTGCCATGAGCTGGCCTTTCTAGACTTCACTCACCTTTAAATTAAGCAGACCAAATGCACCTCTTCCAGCTTGACATTTTATAACTGATCATAGCAGTAACAACTCTATTCTCCTGACTCTTTGCAACTACTTTGCCTTAGTTTATGGATTCCTAACTCCCAAAGCACCTTCCAGAATGAGCACAGGCTTCTGAGGAAACGGCCACTCTTGCACACACCCTCCCATGCAGAAGGGTGGGCATACAGGGGACAAGGGTATGGTATGGCTGATAATGGTTTGGCTGTGTCCCCACCCAAATCTCATCTTGAATTCCCACGTGTTATGGGAGGGACCTGGTAGGAGGTCACTGACTCATGGGGGCAGGTCTTCCCCATGCTGTTCTTGTGATAGTGAGTAAATCTCACGAGATCTGATGGTTTTTTTTTTTTTTTTTTTTTTTTTTTTTAGATGGAGTCTCGCTCTGTCGCCCAGGTTGGAGTGCAGTGGTGCGATCTTGGCTCACTGCAAGCTCCGCTGCCAGGTTCATGCCATTCTCCTGCCTCAGCCTCTCGAGTACCTGGGACTACAGGCGCTAGCCACGACGCCCAGCTAATTTTTTTGCATTTTAAATAGAGATGGGGTTTCACCGTGTTAGCCAGGATGGTCTCGATCTCCTGACCTTGTGATCCACCCGCCTCAGTCTCCCAAAGTGCTGGGATTACAGGCGTGAGCCACCACACCCAGCTGATCTGATGGTTTTATAAAGGGGAGTTTCCCTATACAAGCTCTCTTCTCTTGTCTGCCCCCATGTGAGATGTGCCTTTTGCCTTCTGCGACTGTGAGGCCTCCCGGGCCACGTGGAACTGTGAGTCCATTAAACCTCTTTCTTTTGTAAATTGCCCAGTCTTGGGTATGTCTTTATCAGCAGCGTGAAAATGGACTAATACAGACAGTCCTCTTCTCTACCCTGCATCTCTGCACTTCTAAGCAGCCCTTGGGGACAGTTCAAATTCATGTTATCAGCTGCACATTCCGTCCAAATAGGACTTCCTCCCAATCCATGTCCCGGGGGTCCGGAGGACTTGCAGTGGGATATGGAGGGTGCAGGAAATTCACGGGCTACGCCAGCTTGAAACAGACTCTGGAACACTTAGTTCATGACATTCCACTGTGCCTTGCCCAGAAGCCAGAAAACAAGGCCCAAAGTTGTAGATTAGGGACAATGGAGAGGGCAGGGCATTAGAGGCCCAGAGAGAGAGGTGGTGCTGAGTGTGCAAATCCCCCATCTACTTTCTGTTACCTGTCTGCGCAGAGGGATGCTCTTGGCCAGCTTGTGCACAGCCATCTGGCTGTGGAAGTCGCTCTTCTTGGTGCCACTCTTCATCTTGTAGACGATGACCGACCCTACCATGCAGGAGATGAGGAAGGCCCCTGTGCAATAGATGATGATCTCCAGGTACAGGGGCGAGGTCATCACCGCCGGCCTCTCTTCCAGAGCTGAGTCAGTGCGAAGAGGGTATTAGCAGGCTCGGAGGGCCCCGTCCATGCGAGGTCCCGCTCCATTAGAAAAGCAACACCTATCTCCTGTGTCCTGGGAACTTTTAGGGAGGAGAAGAACTACGGCAGGTTCTAGCTAGGACCGGGATTGTGGCACGAGGAGGATCAGACGACCCCCTGATCTTGGAGGCTGCCTTCAATGGACTCGAGCCATGGAAGAGGGATGGCCTAGAACCATCGTGCTACATCCTCATTAACTCCTGAGCCTCCTCGCTCAACTGGACTGGAGAGGTACAGGCACCCAGGGACCCTGTAAGGGCCAACTGAGAAGTCACTTCTGTGTGCCTTTCTTGGTCTCCTTTGGGAGCCATGGCCCTTCTCTGCAAAGCCTCAGCGCTGTGTGCGTGCACTTAACATGCAGGGACAGAGGTGTTTCTGAGTCCTCTGTCCCTAAGAAGCCACAGGGTCCCTGAAGGCAGGGTTGGTGCCTCGTTTATTTCTGCAGGCTACAGTACCTGGTGATGGTGGCACTCACAGAATGAGGACAGAGGACAGGAGGGGAACCAGCCTGTGCCCTGCTTAATGTCCCACTTCGGGTCTGTGTCATCTCTGTCGGGGCACACAGGTAAATATTTACTCCTAGCCAAACCACAGGCAAAGCTGACTTAATTTCCAAAAATAAACTTTTCTGGTAGTTCTTACGAATTCTACTTATAGGTCCCAACCCCTAAAACTTAAGGAAATGCGGCGGCAGGGGGCGGGGTTGCATTTTGTTATTCTCTTCTCCCACCTTCCGATTAGGATTCACCGCCCCTCCCCCCCATTGCCACAGCAGCTAAGCCAGTTCGGTCCACCTTTCCCTTCAGCATGGAAGGCTGGGAGGCTTTCATCCCAGCACGTGCAGCGCTGGTTTCACGCAACACGCTTTGCCCCACGGGGGTGGACACCCTCCTCCTTCCACAGGCCTCCTCCCAACCTTCCCCTTTAAAACCCAGCAGCCAGCCATGGAGGCGGCACCCCTGGGAACCCCCCCAGAGAGGCATGAGGCACGACCCCAGACTGAGCCCAGAGGAGAACGTCCCAAGGTCTGACAAGGAGACAGCAGAGCTGATAACAGGGAGAAGTGTTGCTGTTTTTTCTTTCCCTGATGTTGAGGAACGAAGACAATTGATTGGGAGCACATGGGGAGCACGGACAGGACCAAGACAGGGACGGCGATAAAAACAGAACGCTTTTCTGCCTCCAGTACGGGCATCCGTAGACCCTGACAGGCAAGTAGGGCAGAGTGGGAAAGGAGGGGAGAGAGGAGAGGGCAGTGCCAGCAGGAACAGCCAGACCTACATGCAGGACATTCGAGAGACAGCAGCAAGCCCTGGCCCCGCGGTCACCAGCCACCACCCTGAGCAGGCTGCAGGCTCCTTCCTCCCTGGCTCAACACACAGACTTCCCCTCTTGGGAGAGGAGAGACGGCAGCAGCCAAAGAGGATACATGGGCGTCATGAAGCCTGCTGCGGCTGCCTGAGACAGGCCTTTCTGAAGGCAGCTCAGTTCACCTGTCCAGGCTGACCTCTTTCTCCAAAGGCAAGAGGATGGTAGTACAGAAGGGTGGACTGCCCTTTGCAAGCAGCAAGCCCCACCCTTGGGCTCAGCACCTGAGAAAGGAGAAGAGGCGTAGGGCCCTATCTGAGACTTTTCAGACACTCAGTGCCCAGCGGATTGGGGAGGCTGCTAGACCCAAGGACGGAAGGAGCCTGCCCTGGAGGAGTCCGACTGCAGGGTAAACCCAGATTCCGGGCATGCATTGCAACGACCAGGGGTAGAGCAGAGGCAGGTGCATGGGTGGGAGGCCTCCGTGCGCCTGCAAAACTAGGGAAGCTCTTCTCTGAGCCGAGAGGATTCAGCTCTGAAAGCTGGGGCAGCATGTGGCACCAGGCAGGCAGGAGCCCATTCTTCCAGCTCTCCTGCCTCTGTGTCTCCCCGAGCCCGGAAATGCATGCTCCCCCCGTGCCCGTGGCAAGGGCAGGACATCGAGAGGAGAAGTTACAGTGTGTACCTTCCAGAACGGTCAACCATGCAGAGTGATGGGAGAGTCCGATAGAGTTACCCGCCAAGCACGTATACTCCCCTGCGTCCTCAAAGGAGACATTTCTTAAGTGAAGCACCTCCATCTCTTTGTCGGTGGTATTAACTCCAGCAGTCTAGAAGAGACAATGGAAGCAAAATGGACAAGCATAGGACATGAGACCTCTAAGAGACGCAGAGCAAGGGAAGGAAACAGAGAGAAGGGGGACCAGAGGAAGAAATGCTCCCCCGCATCTTCTTTGCAACAAGGAACAAACGAAAACCACCAGGCAGCAAAACCTGTTAGAGGAAGAGGGTGAGACCCTTAGGGAGGAACTCCGGCAGACCTGAGAAGATGACGGCTGGTTACGACCCTTCACCAGACGCTGGCAGCCACTGGCCCATCCGAGCATGCGGGCGGTGAGCGGCATGGAGAAATGGAGCCGGCGGGCAGGGGCTGTTTGGTTTCAGGTAAAGATAGCCAGAAGGTGAACACAGGAGGGATGGCGGGGGCTGCAGACACACACATGCGCACACACACACACTCGCGCGCATGTGTGCATACACAGCCAGCAGATGCGAGTGTGCAAGGGAACGCCTAACCCCTTCTCTGTTTTTTAAGAGATGGGGTCACATTCTGTCAACCCAGGCTGGGGTGCAGCGGCATAAATGTAGCTCACTGCAGCCTCGACCTTCTGAGCTCAGGCAATCCTCCTGCCTCAGCCTTCAGACGAGCTGGGACTACAGGCACACACCACCATACTTGGCTAATTTATTTAATTTGTAGAGATGGGGTCTTGCTATGTTGCCCAGGCTGGTCTCAAACTCCTGGCTTCAAGCGATCCTCCCACCTCAGCCTCCCAAAGTGCTAGGATTACAGGCATGAGCCACCGTGCCTGGCCTATGGCCCCTTGTCTTAACCACCACTCACTCACACCTTCAGTCTGAAGTACTATTTGTAACACAGCAAGACCGTGTCCCCGTGAGTCCTCGCATGGATCCACACACAGCCAAGGAACACACAGAAGGCAGAGAGGGAGCCCGCAGACACCAACACAATACCAAACCAAACCAGCCTCCCAGGCCGGGTATTTTTCCATGGCTCTGGGCACTAGAAATACAGTAGGGTGGCAAGGACAGTCCGGTACTGGCTTCTCCGCCTGCCCCAGCAGCTTGGGGCCTACATCAAATCCCCAGCACAGGATCCCATCCATCTCCCCATTACCTTTTGCCACAGGTCTGGTGACAGTGAGCCACGCAGACTGGTTAGCTTCACCAATATAATTGGAAACCTTACACACATACTCCCCGCTCTGGGCCTCTGTCACATTGAACAGGGTCAGCACCTCCGCATCCGAGCTATTAATCCCCGAATGCTGGAACAAACCAACGACACACCAGTCAGTTGGGCAAACGCTGAGACGTGGCCACGCATGTTGCTCCCGTGTAACTTTCAGGCAGGCCCAGGGAGCGAAGGGAGATGTTAAGTGAGATTTCTTATCTTTCCCTTTTAGATTTTTTTTTTTTTTTTTTTTTTGAGACAGAGTCTCACTCACTCTGTCACGCAGGCTGGAGTACAGTGGCGTGATATCAGCTCACTGCAACCTCCGCCTCCTGGGTTCAAGCAGTTCTCTTGCCTCGGCCTCCTGAGTAGCTGGGACTACAGGTGCCAACCACTACACAAGGCTAATTTTTGTATTTTTAGTAGAGATGGGGTTTCACCATGTTGGCCAGGCTGGTCTCAAACTCCTGACCTCAAGTGATCTAAAGTGCTGGGATTACAGGCGTGAGCCACTGCGCCCGGCCTTCTTTCCCTTTTAGAAGGACAGAACAAGTGGACTTCAAAAGTCCAAAGCATTTGATTTAAAAAAAAAAAAATCACTGCTTCAAATGGAATGTTCTATTTGTGTTTAACCCACTCCCTCCAGGACTAGAGCAGGGGTTGTGTGAGTGGGGACAGTGGCCAATGACCTACAGAGCAGTTTTAGCACCAGTAGCAAAGAGAAGAGAAGGGAGGGCCAGTATATCTCTGAGACAGCCAAGCCAGGGGAGGATGAGGTCTAACTCTGGGACAAAGAGGTAAACAACTTTCCCAGCTTCTGGTTCCTTCCTGTTGCGAGATCCACTGGAGGTTTAGGCAATTACCTTCCCTGGATTAATGGAGCATTCAGGGACAATGAATGTCTGGGAGTGAGAGGAAAAAGGAAGAAAATGCCATTCATTACTCCTCATATGGCTTAGAATTTATAGGTGGCATCTGTTTTTCCAACTCTTCATAAAAGATGCTCTTATCATGCACCCCATTTGCCAGAAAGATTGTACGTAACTCAGGACGCAGGGCTAAGACTGGGAAATGCTTGTCGGAAAGGCTCTGGTTTCGGGCAATGAAAAGGCAGGGGTCCAAATGCCTTCCTCGCGTAGCTGACCCCAAAGCCCCAGTGACGTTGCTCTCAAAAATTTTAACAGACCAGCATCACCCATCCCTGCAGCCCTCTGTTCCCAGCTCACCTCCACTTTGTGACCTCTGTCACTAGTCCTGGGGGATGTGGCTAGATCCCTACCGAGATGGAGTGTGTGTGCCTGAAGGGTGAGGAATGATCCCATTCGGGGGCACTGAGCCTGCCCACAGGAACTTGAGCCCCCGAGACACTGGTCTCCTTCTCAGCAGACTGGCCCACGAAGACTGGTGCCGTGATTACCTTCAAGATCTGGACATAAGGCAGGTTGTCTGGACCAATCTTGCTCCCGTTCACCTCGATGTGCTTTAGCCACTGGATATGCGGCTGTGGGTCACTGTACACCTTACACATGAACTCCACGTTGCTACCCAGGGCCACTGTCTTGTTGGCGGGCAACCCTGCTTGCAGGATGGGCCGGTGAGGGGACCGCTCTGTGGAAGAGGGGAGAGGAGGAGCTTGTCACGGGGACCTTGCCAGGGCTAAAGAAGGGTGGGCTCACCTGCGTCCCACTTGGCTTTCCCAGTGATGGGTTGTACACGTCCCAGCACTTCTGCTGAGCCCAGGCCTCTCAAAACAGAGCAGGGGAAAGGGACACCATCTCTTCAGGCCCTAAGCCATCAGGATCCTCCTTCCCAAGGCGGTCATATTGATAGTCACAGTAAATCGCTCATGCTTTAATGGAGAACCTTCTAACTCAGTTGCACCCCCAGACCTCAGCATAACCTGCTCCTCCTCAAGTAAAACCAGAGTCACTTAGACTCCTGCTGTTCACAGCGTGATCCGCCAGCAGTGCTACCAGCATCCTTTAGGAGCTTGTTAGAAATGCGGGATCTCAGACCTTACCCCAACCTCCTGGATCAGAATCTCCTTTTTACTTTTTTTAGAGGCAGGGTCTCACTTTGTCACCCATGCTGGAGCACAAGGGTGTCTTCATAGCTCACTGCAGCTTGGAACTCCTGGGCTCAAGTGATCATCCCACCTCAGTAGCCTCAGTTACTCAGTTGGGACTACAAGTACATGCCACTGCACTAGGCTAATTTTTAAATTTTTTTATAGAGACAGGATCTCACTGTGTTGCCCAGGCTGGTCTCAAACTCCTGGCCTCAAGCAATCCTCCTGCCTTGGCTTCCTAAAGTCATGGGATCACAGGCATGAATAATCCCATTACGCCACCTGGAGCTCATAAGCCACTGCGCCTGGCCACAATCTCCTTTTTAGACCATATTATCACAAGAAGAACACTGACTGAGAGACTCTGTACCCAATGATCTCTAGGGAGTGATTTTCAGAACTCCTAGAAGGAAAACGCTGTGGTAATCGCTCCAAGAGGCTCAACATTCTTCCTAGAGTCTCCTGTGATGCCCTGAAGTTGGCACAGGTGTACAGTTCTGCATCAGCAAGGTATCTCACCTCTCTGAGCCTCACTGCCTGGGCTCCTGTGCAGAGCTAGACTAATACCACCTACCTTGCAGGTGTGCCACAAGCATTACAGAGCAGGTATTTAAGGAGCCTGGCACATTGCTGGCATTAAGCGACAGCTCCTGTTGCGCTACATTTAACACCTCTCCAACAGCATCTCCTTCAGGACAGACTCTGAAACCACCTTCCATTTCACAGTGACAACCAGCTTTGACATGTGTTACTGTCTGATCTTAACTCTATTTTACAGATAAGAAAAGTGAGACTCAAAAGGGAGAAGTGACCTGCTCAAGGTGACAAAGCCAAGAAGTGCCAACTGCTATCCTGACTCTGCCCCTAAGAAACCTGGACACCCCGGCTGTGTTCTCCAAGCTCAGCTCTTCCCACTAAATGCATTCCTCCTGCCGCCTCTGTCCTCTTACCCACGACATCCAGCTGGTAGGTGTGGTTGATGCTGCCATACTCATTCTCCACAATGCAGGTGTAGTTGCCCTTGTCAGAGGGCACCACGGAGTCCATTATGATGCTCCAGGTGGCATAACGGACCTAAGGGGAAATGCCGAAGGGATACTTTCAGAGTCTGAAGGAAAATACAGGCAGACGCCCCATGACAATGTTGGCACCCCGTGGCACCTGCCCTCCATATCAGAGTCTGGTGGCACAGGGCTCCAGGCTGCAGGGTTGGCTAGGACAAGGCGTGGGTTGCCCCCACTACCAGCCCGTTCACATTCTGCAAGGTGGTAGATGGGGTGTAAAGACTCTGGAAGTCTCCACTGTGACGTTCAAGGTCATTCGTAATCTGGACAGATGTGCCTTCTGCAAACACTTCCAAATACACCAGGAATGTTCCCAACTGTGCACCTCCCCTATTATACTAAGAATCCAGCCCCTGTTGCCCTTGACAGCTCATTTCAAAAACCATCTCCTCCAGTCCACTCTCTGGTCAGAACCGTGCTCACCCTTTCCTCTGCCTACCAGGGCACTGATCACAGTCTGCTTTTTACGGTAGCCACTCATGGACATTTGACTCTGATGAGACTGGAAAATTTTTATGGGCAGGAACACTGTCTTGTAGCATTTAAAGCATGGTGTCTTGCATGTAGTGAGTGCATGGTGAATTAATTTAAAATGTTTCTGGCTGGGTGCGGTGGCTCATGCCTGTAATCCTAGCACTTTGGGAGGCCCAAGAGGACAGATCACTTGAGGTCAGAAGTTCAAGACCAGCCTGACCAACATGGGGAAACCCCGTCTCTACTAAAAATACAAAAATCAGCCGGGCATGGTGGCCTGCACATATAATCCCAGATACTCGGGAGGCTGAGGCAGGAGAATGGCATGAACCCGGGAGGCGGAGCTTGCAATGAGCCAAGATGGCATCATTGCACTCCAGCCTGGGCGACATAGCAAGACTCCGTCTATAAATAAATAAATAAATAAATAATGCTTACACCCTTTAAGTTGTTAATTTCACTTGTAACAATCTGTCCTAAGGAAGCACACTTAAAAATGCTGACAAGAGATTCACTGCAACATTATTTATTATGGTGAAAAACCAGAAAATACCTAATATCACAAAATAGTTCATTAAATTATGGGACTTTTTTGTTGTTTTTTGGAGACAGAGTCTCGCTCTGTCACCCAGGCTGGAGTGAAGTGACATGATCTCAGCTCACTGCAACCTCTGCCTCCCGGGTTCAAGCAATTCTCCTGCCTCAGCCTCCCGAGTACCTGGAATTACAGGAGCCTGCCACCACGCATGGCTAATTTTTTGTATTTTTAGTAGAGAGGTTTCACCATGTTGCCCAGGCTGGTCTCGAACTCCTGAGCTCAAGCAATCTGCTCACCTTGGCTTCTCAGAGTGACAGGATTACAGGTGTGAGCCACTGTGCCCAGCCAAATTATGGGATTTAAAAATAATGGAATCTTATATGTTTCAAACATTCATGCTTCAAATATATCATGAAAACACTCATGTTAACAAATGACAAGGCAAGGAAATTATTATACATGACGTGATCAACTATGTAAAAACCATATTACACAGAAAGAAGACTGAAGAAATTTTTAAACTTTATTTGCATTTAAAAATTTTAATACATAACCTGTATAGGTAGAAAGTATTACTTAAAACAATGAAAAGCGTGTAATCAGGACTTCCTAGCTCGGCCTCCCCTGTTCCCGTTACTCAACTTTCGCATGCACACACACGTACCTTGTAGCCTCCAATCCTGTGGTCAGGTTTGAATTCTTTGCCATTTTTCAACCAGCGCAGTGTGGGGTTTGGGGTCCCACTGGAAGGGCATTTGAACTTCACTGTCTTGGCAGCTGGCACCGCATGCAATTTCTTTTCCATCTTTTCTGGGGATGTCCAATATGGAGCTACGGCTGCCCGGGGAAAGCCGAGAGAGAGAGGCAGGGTGGGGAGGAGCAGCTGGTCAGGCTCAGGAGCAGGGCCCAGGCCAGGACCTGGGGGTGCCCTGCCCATCTGCCCAACACCTGTGAGCAGTGCCTGGCACTTAGCAGAACAGGCATCGTGACCCCATGTGCCCTCTCCTCCTCCCCTTTCAGCCTTCCCCTCCCCTCTTAAACCCAACGCCCAGACCCAAAGGGCAGTAAGATAGGAAACAGTGTCTCACGCATACGGTTTGGTTTGGTGTTATCTGTCTCTTTCTCCTCTGAAGAGGAGTCATCATCGTCATCATCATCCTCTGAGGAGGGGAGAGCATCTATGGGAAGAAGAAGGGGCACTGAGGTTCCTCCTAGGGACCCCTAGATTTCGCCAAGGCTAGTGCAGTTCCAGATGAACACAAACACCCTCCCCACGGGGATACCAGTCCCACTTCTCCCTTAGTGACGATCTCTTGGTGGGATGGAAACTGTTTAAGAACAGTTCCTGTGCGTGTTTCCTTCCTTCCCCAAAGCACTGCTCCCACTGCCTGGAAGCCTTCACACTGGGTGGTTCCATCAGGGTCAGCTGTTCCTCTTTAACTTAATTCCGTCCTACATTCAGAGGCTCTCTCTCAACTTGTGGTACCACCTGGGTGTGCTGGTGCCAGGCAGCGTGTATTCTTCTTTGGACGGCTGACTACAGGGAAACCCAGGCAGGTCTAGACACATTGTAGCTAGATGCTATTTCCAAACGATGGGCTAAACACTCCACAGTCAGAATTTTTCTAGCATGTGTCCACTAAGGTTTGGGGGCTGCCCTCCCTAACCAGAGCAGATAGGGCACCCAACACCCCGGCAGCTGCCAACACCTCTCCCCAGTAAGTATTTATTTCTTGTAAGAACAGGCTTGACACACATGTTATCTCACCCATCAGGGTTCATGCCAGATCTTTCTCCAGTCCTTCCTATCACCTTTGGGGATCTGGTGCCAAGTCCGCACCCCGAGGTGCAAAATTGGCATAAAGAAAATTTCAGCAACACTTCCTCAACTCCTAGTTTTGTGAAAGTCACATTCTAATAGTGGCAGGTTCCCAAGTTCACAGAGCTCCAGGGCTCCCTGGCTGCCCTCGCACAGCTCCCTTGCAGTGCACCTGGGTTCCTCTCCAGCAGAGCAGGGATCCCACCACCTGTTCGGGGGCTCTAATCACTAAGCCGAGTACCAAGTCCAAATGGCAAGGGAGTGATGGGGTGGAAGCTGGCCGAGCACCACTTAGCCTCCTGGAGATCTGGGCAAGCTGTGGTGGAAAAAAATCACAGGGTCTTAACATCCCAATAGCCCTGGCAATCACCTCCGAGGTGTGTCCTGGAAGCCCCAGATCTCCGGCCCTGGGGCCCACCCCACCTGGTCACCCCTCTGAGAGCCAAGCCACGCGGCAGGCAGGGAGCAATGTTAGTGGGCAGCAGTTTCTGAAGCAGAGTGGGGGCAGACCACGGAGGGGGAGGAGGTTCACCTTCCCCTGATACTGGCAGAGAGGGGTGGAGGGGGTGGGTCTAGGGAGGGGCGAGGGCACGGCTTGGCTACCAACCTGAAACATTGACGGAGAAGTAGGTGGTGTCGCTGCCCAAGGGGCTGCTGGTTACGCAAGCATAGAGGCCGGAGTCCGCGGGCACGGAGTCCTGCACCTCCACCTCCTCCCCTGTGATGCGGGTGCGGTTGCTTTCTGCCAGCTGCACCCCGTCCCGCAGCCAGTTGATGCTCTGCACATCGTCCCGCAGCCGACAGCGAAGCTGCAGCAGGTCACCGGGGTGGACCAGGAAGGACTCCACTTCCACAGGGGCTCCCCAGGGCTGGGCTGCAGCCACCACGGGGCCGGGAAGGGAGGCCAAGGGGCGAGAGAGGAAGACAGGGAGAGGGGAGGAGGGGAGAGACAAAGGGAATTATGCTGGCCACACGGAGCCGCACCGTCCCGGGCATCACTTACTGGAGGCTACTGAGCCGGGGCAGTGGGAGTTGGAGCATGGGTCAGTGGGGAAACAGCTGGCTGCCTGGGAACCCCCATCTCTTTTCCACCCCACTCCTCCAAAAGTCAAAGGAAGAAAGAGGCAAAGTTAGGAAGCAGCTGTAGCAGCATTAAGCGGATCACATTTCATTTCCCCCCATCCTAAGGGGAAAGGTCAGCCCTCCCCAGGACTTCTTTGTGTCCAGAGTTGCCCCCTCCCCGGACACTCAGTTCTTTGCCAAGATCCCCACTTGCCAGAGGAACACCCCATTTCTTTTGGGATAGCTCAGCCTCACCCTTCCCTAGCAACAGCTGAACAAACCCCGCCCCTCAAAACCCCAGCAGCCCCTGCCCAAGTCGAGAGAAGGCAATTTGTCAACCAGGGGCTGACCGGGATGTGTGTGATTCGGCGAGGGTGGGGGTCTCGCCCCCGACATGTCAGATGCACATGCTGGGAGGGGGCAGCCCAAAGAGAGGTCAGCTCAGGGAACCTCTCGCTAACAGGTGTCAGGGCAGGGGATTTGGAGCTGTTGACTATATTAGAACCAGAGGCCACAGCTGCCATAAAACCCACACTTGCTCTGGCAGCAGGAGCTGTCGCACACAAAGGTCCTTTCTCCTCAGCCCTCTGCCTGGGCACACCCTCTCAGGCCCCCCACCATCCACTCTCCCTCCCCGTGCCCCGTCCTTCTCTGTCCCTGGGTGGGAGTGCTGGACCCACCGGGGTGTCCGCACCTCACACAAGATCTGATACCGCCAAGAGCACCTGTCCCTCCCCTGACCAGTGCCTCTTCCCACACGCGTTCAAGAAGGCCCGTGGCCCAGACACACCTGAGTCCACCATGCTGGGCTGTTACCCATCTCCCGAACACACCCCTCTGCACTCACGAGGGGAAATGAAGTTTCTATTTCCTTTTAGGATGTTCAAACGTACTCCTGGAACCTTCCACCTCTCACCTACCACCCACACCCCGCCCACAGCCTTGGAGAGGACTTTTCTCACCATCTGTTCACCCTAAGAGACTCTGGAGAGCAACTGTCGCTCCCCAATGCGATGCACAAGGCTCTGAAAGAGCCTGCTCTCCCTCAGCCCCTGCTGTGGCTCACGCCTGCCCCAGCGGCCACAGAGCCCCCGACTGTTTCTGTCCAGCTCTCAATACTCACTCTTCTGTCTCAGCCTAGTTGTTGACTTCTCCTCGAGGGCGGTGCTGACTCCGAGTCTGGGTTAGGTGCCCTCCCCTTCCTGGCACCTGTCACACTGAAGGGCAGTCCTCTTTCTGAACCTGAGTGTGGGGATGTGTCATCGGTACCTTCAAATCCCCAGCGTCCACCATGATGCCTGGCGCCCAGGAAATGCTTGCTCAGTAAATACCACACGTGCAGTCACCCTAGCTCTTCACTGCCTTCCTTTCTAATCTCCCTTTTCTCTTTCACTCCCCCTTATTTGAAAGAGAGTCTTTCTGAAGTGCTCAGCAGGCTTCCGCTAGAAACCTTAAAAATGAAAATAGGTGTCCCGCGCTTCAGAAGTGACCAGCAACTGACAGGGACTGACAGTGGTTTCCCTCATGGGGGCTGAGGTTGCAGGCCCAGTCCTGCATCGACCCATGGGCTTTATCTTAAATAAGAGTTGTCAGACACAAGGGTGCTGCTTTAGAAGGGCTCAGACACCACTAGGCTTGCACACGTTTATTTTTGTGAGTCCGGTCAAGGGGAACACCACAAAGGTGAGTAGACCACACAACTGATTAAAAATAAGCTTTTGTGGGCCTTAGAAGAAGTTATTCTTTCCATTTTTAATGGTCTGTGGTTTTGCCCAATGAAGGTAGGGGAAAAGCAGTTTAGACTCGACTCTTAAGGAACAGAGCAGACACTCCTATTGATCAAATCTCATTTCCCTCAAATGACCTCAGTGATTAAATATTTTGCAGCTTGTGATCTGTGCAACCCGTTGGTCAAGAGTAAACTTGAATTCTTACCCTCTGGCAACCCAAGGCCTATTGCAGCCTGGTCCCAGAGAAAAAAGCAGCTCCCAAAGACAAAACCGTAGCAAAGAGAACCCCCAGGCTTTTATTTCCCTCCAAGAGAAAGTAGCAAAGGAACACTGGCCCTGGTGAGACCCGCTCTAGCTGATACCAGCTTGGATCCATACCTTCCTGACGGTCCCAACCAGAACGTGCAAACAAAACTCCACTATACGTGATCTCTAAAAGCCTCAAGAACCAGCTCGCTTTCCTCCTGATGCAAGCTTAGACCCCAGTTCCCTTCCAAACATGGCTCAGGTATGCTCTATCCTCTCCCTTTCCCAGAACCATCTTGGGATAATTTTTTTTTTTTTTTTTTTTTTTGAGATGGAGTTTCACTCTTTTGCCCAGGCTGGGGTGAAGTGGTGCGATCTCAGCTCACTATAATCTCCGCCTCCCGGGTTCAAGCGATTCTCCTGCCTCAGCCTCCTGAGTTGCTGAGATTACAGGCGTGCGCCAACACACCCAGCTAATTTTTGTATTTTTAGTAGAGATGGGGTTTCACCACGTTGGTCAGGCTGGTCTAAAACTCCTGACCCCGTGATCTGCCTGCCTAGGCCTCTCCAAGTGCTGGCAGGATCCACCACACCTGGCGGGGATGATCTTTTAAACGGCCTCCCTGGGGCTGCAGCTCAGACTCCCGCTTCCAAGCCGTCATGTGCTTGACATTATTTTTCTGATCAAAATCTACCCTGTGTACTGAATAAAATTCACATCCCTGCCTCACCTTCAAGACTCCCTGCAATCGGCTTCCACTCTCTCCAGCCAACCCCATTCTCTCTACCAGGGTTTGTCCCTCCCCACCGCCACCCTCCCCACCCCCCAGTCGGGATGCTTTCAGCCCCAGCTGCATCCTCCCTGCCATGGCAAAGCTTACTCCATCCGGAGGACTGTCAGCGCCACTCCAGAGTCCTCCTGCCTCAAACTACTCAAAGTCCACCATCCAAAATGTCTAGGGACTGGGCGCAGTGGCTTATGCCTGCAATCCCAGCACTTGGGGAGGCTGAGGCATGCGGCTCACTTGAGCCCAGGAGTTCAAGACCAGCCTGGGCAACATAGTGAGACCTTGTCTCTACAAAAAAATTTAAAAACTAGCCAGACTTGGTGGCACATGCCTGTGGTCCCAGCTACGCGGTGGGCTGAGATAGGACTGCTTAAGCCCAGGAGTTGGGCTACAGTGAGCTATGATCATGCCACTGGGCGACAAAGACCCTTTTTTTTTTTCTTTTTTAAAGACAGAGTTGCTTTGTTGCCCAGGCTGGAGTGCAGTGGCACAATCTCGGCTTGCTGCAACCTCTGCTTCCCAGGTTCAAGCCATTTTCCCACTTCAGCCTCTGGAGTAGCTGGGACTACAGGCGTATGCCACAATGCCTGGCTTATTTTTGCATTTTAGTAGAGACGGGGTTTCGCCATGTTGACCAGGCTGGCCTTGAACTCCTGACCTCAAGTGATCCACCCGCCTCAGTCCTTGCATCTTCAGTTAGCAAGTGCTGGGATTACAAGTGTGAGCCACTGCACCCAGCCAGACCCTGTCTTAAAACAAAACAACAAACTAGGAAGCCTTGTTTACACCAATGTCTCATCTCTAATTTTCTGTAAAACAGTTACTGTCTGAATCACACAAATTCACACTCAATTACATTCTATTTTGTATTGTTTCTATTGTTTTAAACAGCAGACAGGTAATTCACATGCTGTAATATTCATCCATTTAATGGTTTTTGTATATTCAGAGTTGTGCAATCATTCACCACAATCACACTTTAGAACATTTTTACCATCCCCCACCCCTCAAAAAATGCCTGACTCATAGTAGTCACTCCTCTATCCCCTATTCCCAGTCTAAGCAACCACTAATCTGCTTTCTGTCTATGGATTTGGCTATTCTAGATATTTCGTATCAATGCAATCATACAATATGTGATCTTTTGTGACTGGCTTCTTTCACTTAGCATGTGTTCAAGCTTCCTCCATGTTATAGCATAGAATCAGCACTTTGTTCCTTTTAATGACCTAATAATATTCCATTGTGTAGACATACCACATCGCAGTCCTCAATTGACAGACATTGGGTATAATGTTTCTTTTTTAAAATAATAAGTTAAAGTTTCAACATGTTGCCCAGGCTGGTCTTGAACTCCTAGACTCAAGCAATCCACCCACCTCGACTTCCCAAAGTGTTGGGATTACAGGCGTGAGCCACTGCACTCAACCCATATTGCTGCTGCTTTTTTTTTTTTCTTTTTAAACAACTGCTAATCAATTTATTAGTAGTTGACTTTGATCATCTGCATTGGTGACTTCCACCTCAATTCCTGGCTCAATACTGATGGACGTCAACCGCTTAACAATCTCAGGACTGTGCAAGTCAGTGGGTAGATGGTGGATTCTCATCTAGAAACGATCCATGACTCTGAACCTTCACCACAAGGAGATTTTCTTATAGTGAGTCTCAAAGTCTTGGCATGCATTCAAACTGATCCCTTCACCTTGACATTCTTTTCCTTTCCTCCTCTGAATCAAGTCAGCACACACTTTCTCCAGGGATTTTATGCTGTGGCTCATTAGAGGGATTCAAATTTGATGAATGGTCACCTCCAGCTTCACAGGTGATTTTAGTATCTTTAAAAGCCATGGCTGCAGTGCGACTTCCTGACTGACTTGTTCAGAACAGCGGTGAATGAGGAGCAGGAGCGGGTGGACTGCAACGCCACACCACCTACGACTGCATCTTTCTCAAAGAGCTGTATTGCTTCTTTTCTTTTGAGACAGAATTTCACTCGTTGCTCAGGCTGGAGTGCAATGGCGTGATCTCGGCTTACTGCAACCTTT